ATCTCATTTTTCCGTCTGATTTTAGTGATGGCTTTTGGTTTCTGTTTATAGTTTCGTCTTAGTTATAACCTACTGTGTTTTGCAATAATTTTGGTGCTACCTGTGGGTGCTACGTTGAAAACTTCGAGAAAAACTTCATTGATTCACCATGCATCTGCATCATAAAAAGACAAACGGGTATAACAACTAATTGATAATCAATTTATCACTGGACTAGATTCCGAAATCATTTTTCACATAAGAGAGTAATACTCAAAGCAGTGGAGTAATACCACCATCTGTATTTGGAAGGAAAATACCTATTTATCACCTTTTAATACAATACCTATATTACATTTGTCCTCGGTTTAAAAGACATTTATAAAATATATTATTTTAGTGTTAATAAAATGTAATATCCTAGTCTCTACTTCACATTTAAATTATTTATAGGTATTTTAAAGATTTGAGATTGTAGGTATACCTATTTGCTGCAAGTAAGTATTCGTTAAATATGTATTATTATTTGTATTTATTTTTATCTAATAATATTATTTAAGTTATTAATAAACATATTTTAAGAATGTTCTATTTTATTATTTATTGATATATCTTATATTTATTTAATAATAATATGCAGAACCAACTCTTCACATCAGACCCCTGCTTATAACAAATTAATTCCTCAAATTTGGTATAATCGACCTAAAATATTTTGTAAAATAAAAGTTTCGAACTTACTAGTTCCATTCTTTATTTTATAAAATAATTTATGTGGAAATCATTTGAAATTTAATTTAAAACTACTACCTACTCCTAAAAATTACAATTTGAATTTACCGCCATCTGTCAATTGTCATTTTAGTTCCAGCTCCAAACACAAGGTGGCGCCAATTTGGTTTAAAAGTTTAACATTGGCGTGGGGTCTCTAGAAGATACGTGCTTTGTGGCTTAGATATTAGATTTAAAAGGAGTTTGACATTATTTGTACGTGTCCACCGCGACCTTTTCAGATCTATTGTGGGACTCCGTTTGTTTTAGAGTTTGTTATCTAAGCTTGGACTTTTTTATTAGACTTATTTTCCTTGACAGTGGCATCCACATGCATGTAGTCACATATATCTGGCTTTTCTTCATCTAGTATAAGAAATCTCAATCTAGTTAGGATTTCACATTAGTGCAGGACGTGAATTGATATTTCCTTTTCTAATTCACAGAACCCGAATAAATTAAAAAAAAAAAGAAAAAATTAGAAAATAATTTAATTTTGTAAGAGAAGTGAAAACTTACTTTTTAGAAGATAAAAATAAATAAATACCTTGGGAGATTCTACTTCTAGTACACACCAACTACGGTTGCTTATTACATTGTTCTTGCTTCTTTTTTGCAAAAAAAGTAAAATGTATACGTGTATTTGATACGCCAAAATTACAAAATATCGCCCTAAAGTGGTCGAATTATCTGCAGCTTGCGCTAGTATCGCTTTTGCTTCCCCTACCATAACTTCGCACTGAGCGAATATAATTATCATACGTTCACACATATACATTTTCTATACTACTTCCCTCAACGAAGTATGTACTAAAAAAAAATATGTTTTCAATAATGGGTTAATATAATCAAAAAGTTTACTTTGTGTTTATTAAACTACAATTGGGAGACAACAGTTCTAAGCTATTTTTCACAGTATTTTAGACCTCAATAACACTTTGTTTCAGAAACGAATTGTTTAACTAGGTGTAAGTAGACGTTTGCAATAAATACTTATAAATTACTTTTTACCTATATCAATACGAAAGTATGTATATAAAGACGCACTTGTTTACTTACTCTATTAACAAAACATTGGATTTCAAATAAAATGTTCGATTTTATTATAGCTAAATAAATCTTCATGTGAAAAGTGATCTGAACAAACTTTGGCATCTTTCAGTTTTGAGATCTTGCTCATTTATTTTCAAGTTGTTCAGCCACAATGACATTAGACAATGTCTCTCGGAAACGTGTAAAACGTATATACCATAAAATATCCAGTTTCTACTATTAGGTATTTTTATATCAAGAAATAAAAAAACCCTAGCACAGTTGTTACGCCCATGGATATCTACATTATTTACATTTCATGAGATTGATTTTGACATAACCTACCTGTGAAAATAGCAAGCATTGGTTTTGGGTGTTTTTGGTCCAAAATGTTCGGAAAATGATGCATCTCTTTACTGCTTTGAAATGTATAATCACGTTTGTAAATAATTTCTTTCATATAAATAAATAAAACAAGAATATTTCACTAAAATAAAACACCGAATGACACTTTTAAAAACATATAGAAACAGGGTTGCCAAATGTCCAGTTAAAATATAGTATTTAACGGTTAAACCGATGGATCGTAGTGAACAAAATTCAAAAAACATCTAATTTAAACACCGATTCAATGCAGAAGAAAATTAAATGAGAAATTTTATGAATATGATTAAGATTCTTAAAGGAACTGTTAAATATTAAGCTCCATATTAAGTATTTCGAACCTTGAAACATTGGGAACTAATAATTATTATCCTTATACGTTTAACCGAAAGTGACACTGCGGCAACCTCTGCTGGTACCACAGTTTGTTGTGCATGCGATTGTGGACCTTATTATCATACGACAATTGTTTATGTAAACAAGGCGTATCTATTCCAATACATGATCGAATGTGCCTACCAAATTTCAACTAAATATTAAAAGCAGTTTCAATCACATACTTTGATTTTTAATCAAAGTAAGTGGTTTCAATCATATACTTTGATTTTATTTTACTATATGGAGAATGGTCACACTGCGCAGCTTTCTGAGTGCCTTTTAAAAGGAGATAGAAAACTCCGCCATTTTGTTCCCTTATTACGTGTTGCCTACATCTTGGCGCAATATTTTTAATATGTGCGTTTTAATCATCCGCTTCTGCTTCGGAATTGTCGGCTTTCTTGTTTTAATCTGACGGGTTAAAACGACTAAACCGACAATTCCGGAAGCAGAAGCGGATGATTAAAACGCACCTGATATTTTGCTTGCTTCTGTCAGTGAATATTATTTTCGGAGTCACAGTTTATTGTTAAAGAATCAGTTAGCTCACTCGGACCAGTTGAAAGTTCCAAAATAACATCCACTACAGGGATATAAATTCAGGATACGCAGAAGACTGCTGTTTTATTATAGGCGGTTGTCATATATTGTATTATCCGAGTTGCGCAGTGTATAAACTGGAACATTGAGATCAAAAGTGCCAACGCAGAGTGAGCGATCTGATTCTTTAATGTTGATGTTGGGCGTGTCGGATCTCTCTCTTGCACCGTATAGTAAAGAAAATCAAAGTATGTGGTTTCAATTAATTTAAATTATTTTTTGTTGTTTTGTAACACCCGCCTACCACTACGACAACCCGATATACACATTGTGTGTATATAAAGTTGCCTACCTTTCATCATTTCTATCCAAGGCTGGCATATGCAAAATCGAGTTGACAGAACATATTCTGCTGCGGTTCGTTCATTATTTTTTAAAAAAATCTAATATTTTATTAATATTTGGTGGTGTTTATATTTTTATTTTTAGACTATACACCTGCGTTGGAGTTTTATAAAATCGTTAATATTAATTTTTAAAAGACAAGCCACAAAACGGCATGGAAAAATCGTCTAATGATTTCCATCAAATTTTTATTTGAATTGTAAAGATAAATATTATTGTGTGAATGGTTTATTTTAAACATTTTGGATTAGGGTACGGCCTCCTTGCTAAATTCGGACCACACTTTGTTTATAAGCCGAAAAATTTTAAAATTATTCCAAGCCCGGATCGAGCCGTAGTTTTGCTGTTGGCAAACAATTTTTACTGTTTACCCACAAAAATCGTTAGAATAAATAAAGGAACTGAGTCTGAACTGAAAATAAAGACTAATGGTTAGATTTAAGAGTAAATATTCTTCAAATATCATTCACCCTTTTTAAATAAATTGCAGCTTTGTCCACTCAACATTTATTTACATTGACGGGAATGAATAAGAATATAGAGTAGAAAGTGCATTATACAAAAAATAACAGAGGTATTATGAAATCTCGTCGAATTCGCGCATGACGTATTGTGGTGTGAAATATGACCATAAGCAGATTCAAATTTATTTTTATCCGACTTCAAAAAAGGAAGAGGTTCCTCATCGTTGGAATATTTCTTTATTTTTTTTATGTATGTTCAGCGATAATTCCTTAACACAGCGTCCGATTTTAATGATTCTTTTTTGTTAGAAAGTGGGTACTTCAGGTGGTGGTCCCATACAAATTTGGTAAAGAGGTGGTAATGGCATCTGTACGATTTTAAAGATGGTTTTTTAAAATTACTTTTAATACTTGTAGAGTCTCGTTTTCGATCAGTTGATACCTATCTCTAATTCGTAGAAACCAATACGTTACCGTGACGTAGATCAACCTTATTTCTGTAGTATCATGTGTAAAGTATGCCTTAGCACAGTGTTGCCAACTTATATATCTCTTTTTAACCGGCTTCAAAAAAGGAGAAGATTTTCAATTCGTCGGAATAATTTTTTTATATGTTCAGCGATAATTCCGATTTCAATGATTCTTAATGTTTTAGAAAGAGGGTACTTCACGGGTGGTCCCATATAAATTTGGTCAGAATCGAATAATTGGGCCCATGAGAAAATCTTCAAACTCTTCATTTTTTATGTATGTTTAGCGGTAATTCTTTACCACCCTGTCCGATTTGTATGATTCTTTTTTGTTAGTAAGGGGGTACCACATTGGTACTAATTTGGTCAAGATGTGGTGATGGCATCTGCACGATTTTGAAGTAGGTTTTTTAAAATAACTTTTATTATAGTATTCCTCAGCATAGCGTTGCCAACCTATATATCTTTAAACCGGCAGAAAAAATCGAATATTGGTAGAAATCATGAGAAATCGATATATTTAAATTAATAATAGAGTCAGCGATGAAATAAAATATATTACTTATTAAAGAACAGTCACAAACTAGTTTTTATTAAAAAACAGGTAGAACAATAAAATAAGAATATAGACAATTTAAAATAAGTTAGATAACTAATATAATTAATATATTTTATTAACAAATACAAAAATTAAAATAAGAATTTAGATGTTTATCTGAGGTTGTAATTTTTTTCTGGTGGAAGATAAAATTAATTTTCAATAAAGATAATTTTATTATACATTTTCCATTTATTTTTTCGGTTTTCTAAAATAATTTTTATTATAGTTTGCCTCAGCACAGCGTTGTCAACCTATATATCTTTAAACCGCCAGAAAAAATCGACTATCAGTAGAAATCAAGAGAAATCGATATATTTTATTTAATAATAGAGTCAAAAGTCAAATAAAATATATTACATATTAAAAAACAGTCACAATTTGGTTTTTATTAAAAAACAGGTAGGACAATAAAATAAGAGTACAGACAATTCAAAATTAGTAACTAATATAATTAAAATATTTTATTAACAAATACAAAAATTAAAATAAGAATTTAGATGTCTTTCTGAGGTTGTAAAATTTTTCTTGTAGAAGATAAAATTATTTTTCAATAAAGATATTTTTTTTTAAAACATCTTCCACTTATTTTTTCCTGTAGTTTGGTATTTTTTGTAACAAATGAGTTTTCAGTTTTGTTGTAATATTTAATTAAGTTACCCTCCAATTTCATCAGAATTATGAACGAGACTTCTTTTATTTAACAAGATATCTACAACAGTACCGGCTTGTGCATAGTGTAAAGGAAGATTTCCAGAGATATCACGACAATCAATGGGATGTCCTTTATTTAACAATAAATTTACAATTTCAGTTTTACCAAATTTAGATGCAATGTGTAATGGAGTAACTCCATAATTATCTCCAATATCAACAGGATGTCCTTTATTTAACAAAAAAATTACAGTGCCGTCTTGTTCTGATTTAATTGCATAGTGTAAAGGAGTTTTTCCATTCATATCACGACAATCAAAGGGATGTCCTTTATTTAACAATAAATTTACAATTTCAGTTTCACCAAATTCAGATGCAATGTGTAATGGAGTAACTCCATAATTATCTCCAATATCAACAGGATGTCCTTTATTTAACAAAAAAATTACAGTGCCGTCTTGATCTGATTCAATTGCATAGTGTAAAGGAGTTTTTCCATTAATATCACGACAATCAAAGGGATGTCCTTTATTTAACAATAAATTTACAATTTTAGTTTTACCAAATTTAGATGCAATGTGTAATGGAGTAACTCCAAAATTATCTCCAATATCAACAGGATGTCCTTTATTTAACAAACAATTTACAGTGCTGTCTTGTTTTGATTCAAGTGCATAGTGTAAAGAGGTTCCTCCACGTTTATCACAACAATCAATGGGATGTCCTTTACTTAACAATAAATTTACAATTTCAGTTTTACCAAATTTAGATGCAATGTGTAATGGAGTAACTCCATAATCATCTTTAATATCAACAGGATGTCCTTTATTTAACAATAAATTTACAATTTCAGTTTTACCAAATTCAGATGCAATGTGTAATGGAGTAACTCCATAATTATCTCCAATATCAACAGGATGTCCTTTATTTAACAAAAAAATTACAGTGCCGTCTTGTTCTGATTCAATTGCATAGTGTAAAGGAGTTTTTCCATTCATATCACGACAATCAAAGGGATGTCCTTTATTTAACAATAAATTTACAATTTCAGTTTTATCAAATATAGATGCAATGTGTAATGGAGTAACTCCATAATTATCTCCAATATCAACAGGATGTCCTTTATTTAACAAACAATTTACAGTGCCTTCTTGTTTTGATTTAATTGCATAGTGTAAAGGAGTTCTTCGTTGCATATCACGACAATCAATGGGATGTCCTTTATTTAACAATAAATTTACAATTTTAGTATTACCAAATTTAGATGCAATGTGTAATGGAGTAACTCCAAAATTATCTTCAATATCAACAGGATGTCCTTTATTTAACAAAAAATTTACAGTACCGTCTTGTTCTGATTCAAGTGCATAGTGTAAAGGAGTTCTTCGTTGCATATCACGACAATCAATGGGATGTCCTTTATTTAACAATAAATTTACAATTGCAGTTTTACCAAATTCAGATGCAATGTGTAATGGAGTTACTCCCCGACCATCTCTAATATCAACGGGATGTCCTTTATTTAACAATAAATTTACAATTTTAGTTTTACCAAATTTAGATGCAATGTGTAATGGAGTTACTCCATGATCATCTGCAATATGAACAGGATGTCCTTTATTTAACAAAAAATTTACAGTGCCGTCTTGTTCTGATTCAAGTGCATAGTGTAAAGTAGTTTTTCTATCCGCATCACGACAATCAATGGGATGTCCTTTATTTAATAATAAATCTAAAATTTCAATTTTACAAAATTTAGCTGCAATATGTAATGCAGTTACCCCATGTTCATCCCAAATATGAACAGAATGACCTTTATTTAACAAGAAAACAACAGTAGCGTCTTGTTTCGATTCAAGTGCGTAGTACAAAAGAGTTTTCCCAGCCTCATCAAAAATATCAATGGGATAACCATTATTCAGCAGTGACTCTATAAATTCAATTTTACCAGATTTAGCTGCAATGTGTAATTGCGTCCTTCCATTTATGTCACCAATATACTTGTAAAGGGGAAGGCATTCATTTATCGACAAATTTAGAGAATTGTCCTGATCCAAATTACATTCATACAGCAATGACATTCTTTTATTCTCATCAGGAATAGAAGTAACCGACAAAAAATCTGCTGTATCATTTGGATCTAATTCATTTTGATATTGTATTGGCGTATTTCCAAAAATATCAATTATATCATTAGGATGTCCTTTATATAACAAAAACTCTGTAATTTCAATATAGTTCAATATAGCTGCATAATGTAATGGTGTTCTCCCAGCATAATCTTTAGTATTAAGTGAATGCCCTTTATTCAATAAAAAGTTAATAGTTCTCTTATTACGCGATAGAACTGCATAATGTAATGGCGTTCTTCCAATGTTGTCCCTAATTTCAATTCGATTTCCTTTATTCAATAAGAACTCTAAAATGTTTTCGTTTCTGTTAATGGCGAAGTGCAAAGGAGTCCTTCCGTACCCGTCAGGAATATTAACGGAAAGTCCTTTACTTATTAGTAGGTCAATTATTTCTTCAGAATTGTATTTGCATGCTAAGTGCAGTGGTGTTATGCCATTTATAGTTTTAAGATCAATGTTTTCTAAATAATTCAGAATTTCTAAAAAGCTCTCGACTGTTGAATACTTGCCAAGTGTTTCATGAATCCTTTTTAATTTATTGTATGATAAGCACCTAAATAATTTTTCATAACTGAATTTCCGAATAAAAAGTGTCACTAAGTGTATGTCCCAAATATGATTTAAAAAATCTGTTGAACGAAGTATAAACAGTAATATTTCCTCAGGTATTGAATAATCTTCTAGCATCTGATATATGAACGGATTATTGAGTAAATACATATGTACTGTTTTTAGAAAAGATTTAGACATTTTATTTTCCAGAATTAGTTCGCAAATATGCAATGAAGCGAAATATTCCGACAGTGATCTATGAGCGAAATATACGTTTTCATTGGATTTTATAAAAAAACCCATTTTTAGTAAATCATTTTCATCACAACTTCTAGGTGACAAACATATATCAAAATACTGATATTGTCTTGGATGAAACTCTAATTTGATTGCTTCCCTTTTGCACTCATTAATCGCTTCATTAAATGACTTTTTTAAAGCTTTTATTGCAGCTGCATTTCCAGCCGCATTACATTTTTCCTCTATATAAATGTCTTTTTGTCGATTAATAAATTGTTCGTACAACCACTTTATATTAAATTCCTTTGGTAATTCTATATGGGTTTCGGAGGATTCCAATGAAATATTACATTGAATTGTAAAAATATCCCCAATCATTTTAATTTGTAAAGGTATTCCTATAAGAGTCTGAATTTTTTTCCATCCTTTATTACTCATAAAAGTACTATGTAATTTATTTGTGAACTCTTTTATTTTTAACAATTTATTTTTATCATGTTGCTCGTTTAATTTTTTATCCCAAAAATTAGTAAGAAACGTAATACTTTCTTCGTTAGAAAAATGTTTTAGAGTATATATATCACACTCTATATTTGTATCTTTTAATTTTTTTAAAACGTGTGGTCTAGAAGTTAGAATTATTTTTCTAATATTTCTGTTACTGGCTATAGAGATCAGTGAATTTAAAATTAAATCAGAATATTCTGGACAAATTTCATCCAAAGCATCTACTAATAAAATTACATTTTTAGGGACATTAAAAAGATTTTCTTCAAATTCAGTTCTTTTTTGATATTGAAGTAAATCTAATAATTCATCTAATGTTACAGATTTGCGCTCTTTTTTGGAAAGGTTGTAGAAAATTTTAGTGCATTCATTCAAGTTTATTTTTATTATCCAATAAGACGTTTTACGAAGCAAAAAAGCTAATCTGTTTAAAATAGTTGATTTTCCCATTCCTGGAGAATCAAGTATTGCAACAAATATATTACGTTGGCTATTAATTTTGGAACAAAATTCTTGTTCGCAATATATGTGCAAACCCAACATCTGATTTGGTTGTTTAAAATATTCTGTATATTTATTTTCGTCAATTTCAATTAAGTATCTTTCAACATAAAATGGAATATCTTCATAATTTTTAAAGTCATTAACTATTAACTCTTCTTTACCAATTGCTAATTTTAATAAAGTATTTTCATCAATGATATTATCCCATTTCACTATCTCGTTTTCCATTTTAATTACGTTTTGTAACGGCATTTTGTTCCCTTGAAATTTAATTTCTTTTTGAAGAATTACATTCTGAATATTTACAGAAAAATCACTAAATTTAACATTTGCTTCAAGAGTTGTAAAATTTGAAAAAATACGTTTTTTATCAATGTCTAATATATCGGAGACGATGATAATTTTTTTATATAATTTATTTTTTTGGACAACGTTTTCTAACTCACTTTCAATATCTGAAAATTTAAGCGAGTTCTCAAAAATGGGGACAATTAAACAAATGAATTCAGGTACCACAAACGAATTGATCATAATTTTAACAATATTTACCGGTTGATTTGGATCTACAAATAACATTTTATCTAGCATTTTATTCACTTCATTTTCTTCATCATCTTTTTTATTTATTTTGTTGTATAATAAAGTTTGACAAATTCTGAACTCGTGCAGATCATAAGTTTCTTTGTTTCTAATCTTAATTAACAGTAAATTATCGAACAAATTTGAAGCCCTATCATCTGTATTTGAAGTATTATCTAATAATACAGATAAGGCATTTCTTTTACAAATTATATAATTTGAACATTTGATTTGAGATATATATCCCATGACATGGATTTTATTAATTTTAACTCCTTTTGTAGATTGGAACCACGTTTTTATTTTATCAAGAAATAATTTTTGAAATATCTCTTGAGAAATATGTTCATCTATTATATTCAATTGTTTAATTAAATCTCGTAATTCTTTATCTAAATCCTCATCAAATATCGATACTAAAAGTAGTTTATCCAAAAATGATAAAATTACTTTTTCGGATATCTCTGGTACATTCTCAGAAATGTATCCAACAAGAATATTATGCTGATTTTTATTAAAAGAGTAACATTTTGAATTCTTAATAGAAAAAATCGAATCTTGTACCCTAAGAAATTCTAAATTGTCATTATTTTTAATATTTTCACATAGAGATTGGTTTATATTTTTTAACGAAAATTTACAATTTGTGCAAATAATTAAATTTTGAATGTTGTCACTTTTAATTTTTTGAAATCCTTTTAAATATTTGAACAAATTGAAATCACCTTTTTCCTTGGATTCATTTGAATTTTGTTGGATATCACTAATTGGTTTATTCGATTGTTCTGCTTCCGATTTTTTTTGGAATAATTGGTTAGCATTTTTTATATGATTTTCTTTCTCCGAATGTTTTGCTTGAAGTAAAATGGTGTTTAATCCTGTCTCATATTCATAAACAACATCATCAAATTGGGGGGCCTCTGTATTTTCAGTAGACAATTTAAAATTTTCGTCTTTGTGGTAACCTTGAAGTAGATGAAACAGGAGTAGTCTAAGTTGATAGTCGACTCCTTTTGATCCTGCTGAGCCTCCTAATTTTGGATAATATTCTTGATCCATTATCTTACAAAAAAAATCTAATATATAGGCAACAAACTAATTAAAAAAAAGTATTCAAGTTCAGCTTCAAAAATATTCAATCAATAACGTGTACTCAAATGGAATCTATAATTCGAAAACAATCCAGATATTAAAAATGGGCTACCGTCGATATTAGGGACAGTAATTTTGTCACTTTTTCCATAAAGATTAAGTAAAACCATAATATTTTTACACTTTTTAATCTTCTATAAGTGTGCACTAACCTAATTAAAGCAACAAATATTATTAAAACACATTTTTAAACTAAAAAATTAAGAATATGCATTTATTCACGACATTCTCACGTAGCCATATTGTTTTAAATTTTTTCGATTTGACAGTCACACTAAGAGCGCATGTGCGTGATTTTAGCGATGTTGCCAATTGCTTTTTGTTATTTGTTATAAATAAATATACTCAAGGTAATACCGTTCTATATTATTTTTTGTTTATGAATAATATGACAACTGATATTTTTATTTCTATAAATGTGGAGTTGTCAAACAGTAAAAGAACGTACATAACAGAAATTACATTACAGTGGCTGTTTTTTTAATAGCTCCAGGCCAAATGATAAAACCAGAATATAAACGTGTTTATTTGAGACTTTTCATTTCAATTATTCAATTTGAGCTGTGTCCAGGCCGTTGGAGTCTATGCCGGTTGGCGTAGCCAGGTATGGGTTGATATTTTTTGGTGGCGGCGAAGCCGTCACCCTACGATAAGTCGTTGCGTCGTTTTTTTTGTTGCATATTTATGGACTGGTAAGCGCAATTGCAAGAAAATATGTGAAAAAGTTTACGTTTTCAATTCAATTTAAGCTGTGTCCAGGCCGTTGGAGTCTATGCCGGTCGGCGTAGCGACTTATCGTAAAGCGGCGGCGAAGCCGCCATCCTACGATAAGTCGTTGCTTCGTTTTCTTGTTGCATATTTGTGGACAGGTATGGGCAATCACAATTTTCCATTAACTACTAATTTTATCACAATCCGGCAACGTTGCAATTATATTTTCCAAATTTGGACAGAAACCATCGAGTTTCGATGTTTACAGTAGTAAAAATACTGATTTTTATAGAAATTAAATAATTTTTTTTGGCTTAAATAATGCATTTACCGCAATTTTTTTTTAAATGTAACTATTTAAAATACGCTCTTTCTGATAAAAAATAAATTTCTTTAAAATTCCACTGTCCCTAAAGTCGTCCGTACCCGAAGTAAACTTTAAAGATATTCAGTTACATAACGTGTACTCAAATTGTATCTATTGTCATGAAATTCCTAATCCGACGCTGTGCCTAAAGCAAGCGCGGCCTTCAGAAGGCAACCAACTCGTGCTCGAGGCGACGGAATGTTCTGGGAATGCCGCTGAGGCTCGAGAAACGGGTACAACGGGCGAAGTGTGCCGTTGAGTCAGATGTGGAATATTCGAGACGACCGTCTGGAGACTTCTAGTAGGATTTGGAGTTAATATAAATAGCCGACGTATCAGCGCCCAGTTTAGTTTAATATAGAACAATGTATTGAAAAGTTAAAGTGTAAGAAATAAATTAGAATTGTTAGGTAGTGTCTAAATATTATACAGTGAGCATCATAAGTCTTACACCCCCTATCTAACTCATTACTGGAGTCTTATTAGGAAAATCGCCGAGACACGTCGATTTTTGATTTCTACAATGTACATTTTTGTATGAATAGTTTACCCTTAATTTCATCGCTTACTGGAAGGGAGCAACCCTTTCGAACAATTTAAATGGCATGGGGTGTTAAGTGATAGCTCATTTGAAAGGGGGTTTTATTCTCTATTTAACCGTGCAAAAAATTTTGAAATTTACTTCAATAATTCTCGACTAATTATGGTTTCAGAATAACGGAAATTAACGTAGCGCATTCATCCTTAGAATTAAAATTCGGCACTGCATGATATCGGTTTTGGTTCAGACGTGAAGTAGACTTTTTGCCATTAGATAAGGTCACTGTTAGTTTGGTTGCTTTACTATTTGTGATGTTTTGTTATTTTTAAACATTAATCAATCGACACGTAAGAAAGCAAATTTCAAAATTTTTTGCACGGTTAAATAGATAATAAAACCCCCTTTCAAATGAACTATCACTCACCACCCTACGCCATTTAAATTTTTCGAAAGGTTTGCTCCCTTTCAGTAAGGGATGAAATTGACGGTAAACTATTCATACAAAAATGTACATTATAGAAATCAAAAATCGACGTGTCTCGGCGATTTTCCTAACAAGACTCCAGTAACGAGTTAGTTAGGGAGGGGTAAGACTTATGATGTTCACTGTATAAATTAAATAGTACGTCTGAAATAAATAATTGTAAATAGTGTGTTTTTAAATAAATAAACTAAAACTAAATTAGACTTTCGTCACACTATAATTTGAAAATATTTTACAAATTATTTTTTTTCCTTCTGAACATAGTAATTAAGTACTTACCAAACGTTTTTAGATATTATAGTTTAGAGATTAACAATATTGGCAATTGTAGTATAATACATATTAATTCTAAAATCCAACTGAAAATAATCTTTACATCAAATATCTATCACTTTTTATTTGAAAATGCACGTACTTAGTACTTAAGGTACAAGATAATACTCGTATACCTAGGTGCTTACCTATTAAGATAAGATCATATCAGATCCTAAATATTAATGCGTATATTGTAAATAAAATTACAGTTTTTCACATTCGATTTTATTTATCTATATTCTCGATAACACTAAATTTTAGCATTGATAAATAAATGTTATTACTTTTTGTAAACGTTTGGAGAATAAATCAACTGTTTATTCATCTGCTAAAGCCGGTAGAATCTATGATACAATAGGTCTGTTCGGGTTCTTTAAAATACATTGAAAACTATCAGAGGACTAGTTGACCAGTGGACAGTTTAATAGTTGTGTGCGACGTATACTTTAGAAATGAACTGTTCCACTAGTTCTCGGACGGTTTGCATCGAGTTTTAAGGAAACCCGAACAAACCTAATAAAAAGAAGGTACGATATTACGCAGATTGATGCTATACCTACGTCACGGTGACGTAATGCGGTGGAAGGCGTGGCTTTTACGAATTTGACATATCAGTTGATCGAAAGCAACGCGCGAAAATAAATTTTAATCGGCTCATGGTCAATCAAATTCCACACCACAATACGTCATGCGCGAACTCGACGAGTTTTCGTCGGCTAAGTATCATACCTCTGTTTTTTTGTATCATGGGTAGAATCCGATTAAAATGAGAATATCACCGCTGCGTCATAACTATTACTTTGAATTTCGAATATTTATTATCTATAACTATCAATAAATAAATAATAAGTAAGTTGTTAAGGTATAGAAATATATTTCCTATAATCTTTAGTAAACAGCGATAGCCAATTAATTACTTTGTCAAATGATGACGTAGCTGTGTTCTTCTTATTGTAATCCGACCCTACTTGTGTGCACCCAGACAGCACACCAAATACTTTGGATATCTACTGGACATCCCAATATCCACTGAATGTCCAGTCCATGGTATATATCTATTTTATATCCATGAGATGTAATTTATAGACATGCAAATGTCCATAAATAATAGTAATTATATAGCAAATTATTAAAAAATTACGCCATTGTGCTCACCATTGTGGCTAATAGTACCGTTCAGATATTTAAAATTAATTTTTTTAAGGTGTATTCAATATCCCATGGACATCCACTAAATATATCATAGTCTAGGCGCGAACGCAAACCATGGTGAATATCCACTAGAGGTAATTTTTGATTTTGCTTACTAAGTATAGATGGCGATACCACTTTTGCTCGTTGAATATCTACTCATGCTCAACCAGCCGTAACGAGTTCGATCGAAATTGGTATCGCAATCAGACTCCATTAGAGACTGGAGTCGAGAATTTCCATTTACTGCTGAAGAATCCTAATAAGGATGACTTTCTCCTTAGTGGGCAAAATCAAAGGCAGAGTGCTGAAAATATTTTTTATATCTGCTATTTTCTTTCGACGTTATTCAATAATCATTGGTTACTTATGAAACTCTACTAAAGATGCCCATAAAATATTTTGCTGAATATCCGACTATATCCTGGGATATAGACGGACATTTGGATATCCATATTAGATCCACTGGATATATTGGATATCCACAAAATATATTCTGTGTATATCTCTGGGATTTCTTGTATTCTCTGGAAGATACCCATTAGATATTTTGCTGGATATCTATAGGATATCTTCTATATTCTGGATATAGACGGACATTTGGATATCCATATTAGATCCATGGGATATTTCAGATCTCCTGTGGATATATTGAATATCCACAAAAGATGATCTGTGGATATCTTTGGGATTTGGTGTGTTGTTTGGGTACTGCAACTATGCATCTTAAAAAAGAACCCTTTGTCCATGAAATCAAAGGATGATGAGCGGTACATTGGTTTATTCACTTATTTAAACACAAAACGATTAACCATTTACATAGATACTAGCTGACCCAATCCCGCTGCGCTGGAACTTCTCAAATCTTAATTATTAAAGAGAGAAATTTTTTTATGCGATACCTGGCAATTTATTTAATTTTTATTAATTTTTATTAATTTTTATTAATTTTTATTAATTTTTATTAATTTTTATTAATTTTTATTAATTTTTATTAATTTTTATTAATTTTTATTAATTTTTATTAATTTTTATTAATTTTTATTAATTTTTATTAATTTTTATTAATTTTTATTGATTTTTATTAATTTTTATTAATTTTTGTTAATTTTTATTAATTTTTATTAATTTTTATTGATTTTTATTAATTTTTAGTAATTTTTATTAATTTTTATTAATTTTTATTAATTTTTATTAATTTTTATTAATTTTTATTAATTTTTATTAATTTTTATTAATTTTTATTAATTTTTATTAATTTTTATTAATTTTTATTAATTTTTATTAATTTTTATTAATTTTTATTAATTTTTATTAATTTTTATTAATTTTTATTAATTTTTATTAATTTTTATTAATTTTTATTAATTTTTATTAATTTTTATTAATTTTTATTAATTTTTATTAATTTTTATTAATTTTTATTAATTTTTATTAATTTTTATTAATTTTTATTAATTTTTATTAATTTTTATTAATTTTTATTAATTTTTATTAATTTTTATTAATTTTTATTAATTTTTATTAATTTTTATTAATTTTTATTAATTTTTATTAATTTTTATTAATTTTTATTAATTTTTATTAATTTTTATTAATTTTTATTAATTTTTATTAATTTTTATTAATTTTTATTAATTTTTATTAATTTTTATTAATTTTTATTAATTTTTATTAATTTTTATTAATTTTTATTAATTTTTATTAATTTTTATTAATTTTTATTAATTTTTATTAATTTTTATTAATTTTTATTAATTTTTATTAATTTTTATTAATTTTTATTAATTTTTATTAATTTTTATTAATTTTTATTAATTTTTATTAATTTTTATTAATTTTTATTAATTTTTATTAATTTTTATTAATTTTTATTAATTTTTATTAATTTTTTATTAATTTTTATTAATTTTTATTAATTTTTATTAATTATTATTAATTTTTATTAATTTTTATTAATTTAATTTATATTAATTATTATTAATTTTTATTAAGCCTGGTCGGGGACCCCAGGACAATTCTCCTGGTCGGCCCTTCGACAATTTTATAAAAAATTAGGCCCTTTTTAATATCACATTTCGAAACAAAAAGGTCTTCCAGCAAAAAATTCTCCTCCTCTTTACTTGAATTCCTCTAAAAAAAAAAGACTTCAAGCAAAACCTTCTCCTCTTTACTGAATCTCTCTAAAAAAAGGTCTTCAAGCAAAAACTTCTCCTCTTTACTGAATCTCTAAAAAAAAAAGTTCCACCCTCTTGTGCCGAACCTTCTGAAGAAGTAAAAGACGTCCTCGCTAAAGTTGCCGGGCCCCCCTTATGCCACTGCTGGGCTCCCACTTGAACCTGGGCCCCGAGAATTAGTCCTGGCTACCCCTCTCTTGTCAGCCCTGGTCATCACGCACGGTCCCTATAGTCCAGTTACACAAACCAAAAGGAAGCTTTTTCATTATTTGCATTGAAAAGGAATCTTTTTTGATTAAATTCGATTTGAGTTTTTAAAAACTTATTTAGGATCTGTTTTCTTTGACTTCTAAAATTCTCAGATACCGATTTTAGTCGCAATCTGCAGACTTATAAAAATATTTTTCCGCCTACCTCTATCCAAAGTATACATTTCCTGACCTCATTGCAGGGAGCAAAGTCATACTTTTCCTCCCTAGGGAGGAAAAGTAAAAGTGACGTCATGGTATGTCGTAAATGAAATAGCTTATACGGCATTGACGACCTAAACTATATTCTATTATATAAGTATGAATTTTACCGTTTATTTATAGAACACCCTGTATTTTGCAAAATAGTAAAAATCAGTAAATTGTTATTTTAATTTAACCATTTTTACATTAATAATTTGACTTCAATTCATAAATTCATCCGATTTTCGAATTTAGGACAGAAATATTATAGCATGCTATGGTCGATTGACAGATCAGTTTTAAAGTGTGTTACGCTATATTGGGTCCTATGATTGAACGTTTACGTTATCCGTAACGTATATGTTAGGCCGAGTTTTAACAGTAATGAGGCAAGTTCGTATGATGAAAAACTTTTTCCAACACGTTACTGTTATTTTCCGCCTGTTATCTTCTAATTTAACAGTTTTCCATCATCCGAACTTGCCTTGTTACTTTTAAAATTCGGCCTAACATGTACGTTATGGATAACGTAAACGTTCAATCATAGCACCCAATATATCTACAAAATATAAAATAATATTTAAAAAATGAGTGATTCAAGCGAATTTAAAGATATAAATAATACACCACCGGATATTTTGGAACGGGTTAATGCAACAGTTCAATCTCTATTACCCCCAAAAATCTAAAGAAAAATACGAAAAACAGTATTTACATTTCAAGCAATGGGTCGAAGAAAAGCATATTCATACTTAGAAAAATAATTACTCTACCACAAATTAAAAATATGTAGGATGCAAGAATGAAAATAACATGCCTATAATTTATACTATACCTACTTCATGATTTTAGTTCTTTAATAAATTTTGTTTATTAGTTTCATAAATAAATTATTTAAAAATGACTTGTTATTTGAGGGAGGCGGAAAAATCATATGTATTACTTGGGAGTTAAGTGCCTTTTCCTCCCTTGGATGTTTACTGCCCTCGGGCAGTAAACTTCATCCTGCGGGAGGAAAAGTGGCACTTTCCTCCCTAGTAATACAAATAGCTATTTTTCTTTTAAAACTGCTCACCCTGAATTTAACTGATCGAAAATAACTAGTTTTGAGTTTGAGCCAGAAAGGAACCTAATCTATATACAAAATTTAAAGGTTTTCCATAAAGCCGTTTTTGAGCTATCTCGCCAACAGACAGACCGTAATCTAATGACCCTGAAACGTGAAAATTTACACTTTTTCACGAAGTAAAAAGAAATAGTTCGTTTTAAAATTTTTATTCATTACTTGTGCTTAAATAAATAAATAAATATTAAAATTTGACATCTGAATTTTGTGCAATCCAATCTTGAAATTCGGTGACTCGCGTAAAAACTGATGGTTTTCCTGATTCACAATCTGGAGCTCCAAAAGAAACCACTCCTACTTGTATACCGTTCACTGCCAGAGGCCCACCTGAATCACCTTGGCATGTCGACGATTTAGCTGCACCTAAAAATAGCCGATTTAGTTTTTTTTTCTTTGAAAGCATTACTGAAATCAAATCGTTCGTATGGAACAAATACAGTATGGGCGCCAAAGTAGTACCTTGGGGAACAACCAGCTTATAAAATGGAAAAAATACATTCTGAAAGTACAAGTTATGTTGCTCGGATTAAGCTGGGATCACTATGAACGATGCTATAAGATATTTTATAGCTAATATCCCATACAGCCCACATTATTTCAAAAGTGTTTCAGAAATATTTCAAACGTTTCAAACATATATCATATTTCAAGCACGCGTTTCTGAAATATTTCTGAAATATTTCAGTCAAATATTTCACTGAAAATGTTTCTGAATCATCGTATACATGTTACACAAAAGGTTTCTAAACGTGTTATGTTGTAAAAGGCCAACACTGAAGAATTAATTCTGATGCCTTGGTAGGATTCCCCACTCGACCATTCACTGTTGGGTTCTAATTAACAGTGCTGTTCCTGAAGTGGCGCTGGGAAACAGTGACAAAGCCTACACAGAACACACATGATTGAGACTCTACCACTGAGCCACCCACCCCCTCTGCCATTGGTTTAAGAATCCTTTTTATTTATCGAACCCAAACTTCAATGTGCTAGTGTTGTGTCAACAAATCTACTAGTTTGCAGTTATTATGAGTAGATTTAGATAATTATCGTGTATCTTTCGTATGTGCTTATGTGTTATCGTTGGGGTAATTGTCAGGTTATGTTTTTTTTCAACTTATGTTTTAACTCTTTGCTGGATTTAGTTGGAAAACCGAAAAGTCGGCGATTTGCTTTTTTTTTTTAATTACCATCATGTCGACGAGTGCCAGTTATTATTATTGTTTTATTTTATATAGATTATAGCTACCCTACCTAATATTATATTTGAGTTTTCTTTGATATATACACAGGAAGGCAACTAAATAATTGAAATACAAGTCAGTCTGGAAATACAGTTTAAACGGAAATCTATGGCTCTTAACTTATTTTGGCCTTATTAATAGGTTATATTTTGTTCACTTATTGTTATCACTTATTTTGGCTTTATAAATATTTTATATTTTGTTAAGATGACGTAAAACTTATTGTTATAACTTATTTTGGCTCTATAAATCTTTTATATTCTGTTCAGATGATGTAACTTTAATATTTGTTCCGTTTATGAATAAGTTTGTTAGATTTCCAAAGTGGCCTTTAGATGTACTATTCCTGTTAGTGAGGTTATTTTTATTTCTAAACCTGTAGTGCAGTTTCTCCAAGTCCTAGCTCCAAGCTCTAAGTTCCAAGTACGAAATTCCGAGTTCCAAGTGAGTTCCGAGTTCCAAGCTCCACGTGAATTCGAATAAGCTCCAAGTTATGTAGCTTCACGAAGCTTCCTAGTCTCCAAACAAGTTCTAAGTAATGTCGAACTACCCTCAAGTAGTGTCCCAGCTCCAAGTTTCGAAGTAGTTTCGAAATAGCTCCGAACAGATCCATATATCACCAAGTCTGGACATATCTCTAAGTCTCGACATAGCTCCAATTAGCTCCAAGTACCTTCAAAGTTTCGGACAGACTTTATCTACCCAGGAGGCAACTTAACAGGGAAGTACCGCTATATAATGCAACATAGTCGAAACGAAGAAGCAATTTAAATAATTTCATTCAATTTTTCAATAGTCAATTTTTCATCCATGTTTTCAATAGCCATTAATTATTAATTTAATGTGTAATTGCATTCTTTTTATTAAATGTATTAAATTTTCTCACTTTCTTTTATTTGCCTCATAACAGATAACTTTAGCTACCAGTTTTCCAAGTTACTCAAAAACTTGGTGGCTCTCAACATTTCTGTCGTCATCGTATTATAGTATCTTTGATTTTATCGTAAGGTAGACTTTGGCCCGCGAACAGGTCAAGCTACTCTGATTTTATTTGTCCTGGTCTGAGGTAAAATTTACATCGTAGAAATCAAAAAGACGGTAATAAAATGCAGCGTTTTTCTGGACAAATACGGCGTTTTGCTGTACAAGATCAAATACTGGAGAGTACAATATAGCGAAATGCTGTACGTATGGTCACTTTAAGTTATAAGAAGTGGTGGCTCGTGGGGTGATTCACAGTGACAGAGTATAGGTATCAGTACAGATGTATGAAAAAACTTTCAGTGTTGTAGAAAGTTTATAATATACCTTTCTAAAACACTGACAGTTTTTTACATATATCTGTACCGGGATCTATATTCTGCTACTGTGAACCCCCAAAATTTTGGTCACGAGCCGCCCCTGGTTATAATATATTTTGTGGCATATAGCTCGTAATGAAATTCCAACTGAAAAATGAATTCATACCTGCCGATATACATAGATGAGTATCTTTTACAATGGTGTAGTAGTCATTATTGAATTTTCTGCAATCATCATTAGACATGATAGCGGTATTGATGTAATTCAAAACGGGCGTGACTCCTTTTTGGCTTGTTTTAGTCAGTCCCCAACCGGCAACAGCACCTGAAAAAAAAACAAAAATAAATATTTAAAATTACGCGCTGTTAGGCCTTAAGATTAAAATTAAGGTGATTTGTAAGTGTTTGTTTTTTAGTTGACGTTATTAAACTCCCTTTGTGAACCAGGTTATAATAGTTAAATGATCGCATTAATAGGGCGTGGCTTATGTAGATTCAATATGGCCGATCCGCCAGAACCGAAGACTATTGGGAATGCAACCCAAACCTACATTTTCTTTTTTTTTAGGAAATGTAAGTTATATTTATTATTTGTTATAAAACGGATGATTAAGGTTATAATAACTAATTTTCAGTAATTCCGCTTATTAAGAAAACAAGTTTCATGGAATAAAAAATGTGTGGAAGATTGTGTGTTACCTATATAGTATTTTATAGAATAATTCCAAAGTCTACAAATTTCATTTGATATATCATTGTTTAACGTAACTGTTATGTTCGACCGTAACTGATCTAATAGTCCAGTAACGGAAGGGCCAAACCTGTAGAAAATTCGCTGATGAGTTCCCTCATAGCGCAATTTGTAGGTCATCGCAGGTGTTTTTAAACGAGAAAATCCTTAACGCGTTCTTGGTACCGGAAGGGGCTGAAAATGGACCCTTAAAACCTGGAAAATGGGTTTCCCACTAATATCTGACTGAATATGCCAATTAGACAATTTTTGTTCAGGCAAAAAATGAAGATCAGCTCATTCTCTACAAAAATGATCCCTACCAATTTTTTCGCAATGCCAATATTTTTTGCAAAATCAGACTTCGAAAAATCCATAATTTTCATATTAGCCCTTATCATTTTTTTCGAAAATTCAATAGTTTTCGAGATAATGGCACTCAAAAGTCCCCTCATTTCAGCTGCTGCTCTACCTGCAGGAATTCCGCTTTCTATGAATTAACGTGTAAGCGGGCGGACGAATTGTTCCATAACTCGGGAAAAAATTGATATTTTTCGATGATTCAAAGTTCATCGCAATGGGAAAACCCGTAGCTACAATTCCATGTTACTTGTAGTCAGTTCGTATTTGCCAAAAATATTTAAAAAAGCTGTCAAAGTTTTTTTCAACAATATTTAGAGACTGATTTATTAATTTATTCATATTTTCTTTAAAAATAGTCATTTATTCTAATTTTGCCTTTATAATGGGACCTTGGGGGGTCTTAAATGATCTCAGAAATTTTTTTGTAATACTTTTCTTGCGTTTTAATACAAAATTTATTAGTTTATTTACATGTTTTAGCCGATTTCGAAGTTCCATAGAATCTTCGGAACAAGCGTGAAATATAATCTTATGATCCGTTCTATTGATTTCCAATGCACATAATTTTAAAGCTTAGATGGTCTACTTTTCGAATATATTTTTTTATTTTTAATAGAGTCTAATAATTTTTAAGAAATGAGGAAAATTGATCACACGAGTGAAAACCGGCCTTTTTTTGTTTAACCATTTCTTGTTCCCCGCTCTTTATTTTTTGAGAAAACTAGATCAAAGTAAAGCTTGTATTCTGACCTTTCCATTGATATAAGTCAATCCCCATATCCGTCCTTGGTTCTAAAATGGTTGTTACAATTATATACTTCATTTTTACGCTCCCCCTCTGAGATCCATGATATTGCATATAACCATTGTATAAATATAATATAACCTAACCTCGTGTACCCACGCGGCGATAGTTGTCTGCATGTGTTTGTATACAATCTCTGTTTTGGAGTCGTCGGCTTGACCGTATTATTGATGTACTGATGATATTTTTTCATTATTTATTTTAAATTATTTATTTAAAATAAAATAAATATTTTTCATTAAATTAATTCAGTTATAAAAAAAAGAAGAAGTGTTTAAAGTGAGAAATTTCCACGTTATTCTTGTCTACAAGAAAGAATATTCAAGGATTTTTTTTGTTGGAAGCAGAAAATAGGGTTTGTTTTATTTTGCCTCAACTTTAAAAACTTGGTGTAATTGTTCTAACGGTTGGATCATTTATTTTTTGATAGCTCTTGGTGTTGTTGAAATGGAAGCGGATTCGTTCTAGAATGCTTTCTTTGTAAGGAGGGTGTTGTGGATGCGACAATTTCCACCTATTTCTCCAGAAACAATCCTCTTTACGAATGCACAACAAGTGTAGGGAACGCTTACAACGAGTTTGACAAGCACTCTTCAAGGCAGTAGGACCATTTAACGAGCCCGAAGAGACAAAAGAAGCGCTCCCATAGTGGCTTTGACTTCAAAAACAATTGTTTGTTCTGTCAGTTACCTGCTTCGATAGAAAAGGAGAAAAGAAAGAGTAGTTTGGTAAAGAAGCGTACCATCGTACTTTTTTTGAACACAGAATTCAAGACCACATTTCTGAATCAGATCACAGCTCATATTGATATAGAAAAGTATAAAGTGACGCTAGAAATAATTTCTGGGATCGACCTCACAGTTGTTGGTGCAAGATATCATGAAGTCTGTCGATTGGCATTCTATCAATTATCTGAAAAAGCTTCTGGTAAGGCTAAACCGAAGGGACGGCCCAAAGACTCAGATATTTCAGTACAAATTGAGAGAATTTTTGCTTATATTATAGAAACTAGGGAAGAAATGTACATCATGGCAGAGTTGACCAAAATTGGAGGTATTTATCATTATTAACCAGTTACATGATCTGAAAGTAACAAAAATATTATTCGGTTACTGGTAGTGTTTAAAAAGTAAAGGGAAGTGAAATGACAGTGGTTTATATGGATTACCGAATGATAATAAAATAAATAAGTAAACTGTTGTTCAGTTTTTGGTACTTTAACCGCCTCAAGAACGGCACACCAAAGGCGAATTACTGAAAAAAACCTCACAATAGCTCTTGTGGTGAGCTCTTTCGCCGCCAGTTTCAGCTTTGAAATGAATTCGGCTCCCATTGGAGCAACAGTAAACTTTTTATAAAAAAAACGTTTTTCTGAATGTTAGTTTAACACCCTGTAACTTTGTTGGGAGCCAGTTTTTGATATAGGTGAATATAGCCAAATCCACTTATTTTTTGGTAATCTATCTGAGGATGAATTTATGACATACCTTTTTGAAACACTCTGTATAACCTAATTACAGACTGCTCCGGGATATCCGGATTATGTGTGGTAGTAATTCCTCATGTGCCCGCTAAAGCAGGACAGGAAATATTCCATCCACACATGGAGATGTAAAGGGTACAAAAGTGTTTACAGTCCACTTTTACCGATTTCTGCTGCATATGTGTTTGGCCACTACAGTTGCATCTCTTGCTGCTGCTAACCTTAGTTGTGTCCCTTATTAGAAAAGGTGTATTCCCAGGAAAGTGAGTTTAGAATAAGAAGCGAACTCTTTCCTCCTCACTCTCCATGAAGCTGTACTAACGCCATAACTGGATCAACTTTCGCTTTTGCTAGGGCCTTGTGCAGTCTGTTACGTTTAGATTTTCAGATTTCTTTGTTGGTGGTAAGTGCCTCGGTGTAGCTCTGGCAATCTCCGCGGTGTTTGGCCCTATTATAGAGCTTCCGTACTTCGATTCGAAAGTTTGACAGATGACGGTTCCACCGAAAAGCACCCCTTCTAGTTATATTTCTTTGAATGGGGCAGCTTGATTGCCTCATTTAGTTCTTCGAGATCGCTTTCCAGAGTAAATGGATATCTGGGCCTCTTTTTGGTCTGGGTACGTGCTAAATTCTGTTTTAAAATGGTGTTGTATTTGTCCCAATCTGTTTTTCTAGGATTCCGTCTCCGGAGTGTCGCTCTCTAACGTAAGCACAATTATCTTGTGATCAGATAGAGATGGTTCACTCGATACTCTCAAGTTTGTAACTAGATCTCTAATACCTTGCTTCTTGCCCTTGTTACAAATGTTGGAGTATTCCCAATATTTTGCACAATAAGGTTCTTATTAAAAATATAGTCTAGTTGCGTACATCTTTGATTGGTGTTATATACATATACAGAAGAGTTGAATATATGGTCTGGGATTTTGGGGAATAATATTGTTGGTCCCATTTTTATATCTAGAATCTTGACGGGTGAGTCTCAATTTGCTTAAACTACCCTCGCATTGTGAAGATTTTCTAAAACGACGATCATATCCCAGAAAATTATGTATTTTTTCAACAGGATGGCGCTCGCTATACTATGTACCTCACTTTTTAAATCAACATTTTCCCAACACTGTATTGGTAGAACGGGTTTCATTGAATAACCCCCAAGATCGCCAGATCAATCACCAGTGGACTTTTTATTGCGGGGTTACTTAAAAACTGTTATTTATAAGACAAAACCCTCATCTTTAGAAAATCTTTTCGCCATCGAATAGTGCAAGCATGTGGTGAAATAAACCCTGAAATGCTCCTAAATTTTCGGAAACATGTTGAACAAAGATTTTATTACCGCATGGAAATAAATGGGTCGCAATTTGAACACTTGCTTAATTAAAACTTGTTTGGAAACTTTTTTTTTCTATTTATTTCACCGACACTACCAACAGGTGTTTTATATTAATTTTAACAAAAAAACAAAAAAATGTTAGCATGTTTGAAAAGATAATTGAAATACCCTTAAAATTATATTCCACTTGATCCCTCGTGCCATTTAGTATTCTTGAAGGGGTTGCCACTCCGTTCAGTGGGATGAACCTACATTCATGAATTAAAGATCAAAAGAAGTCCCCCTTGCAATCAAATTCGACCGGTCTCAAGGATTTCAGGTGGATTGTTTCAATTGGGCCACCCTACATAGCCAAACTGATAGCAGCAAAAAACTTACCATTTTGATTAGCGAACGTATTGCTTCCTTTTGCCAACGGTACGATTTTAATTGCATTAGTTTCAGAAATGGGAGTCGATAGCCTTATCAAAGCGATATCATTAACCAAGTTGCCTTCATCCCATCCTGGGTGTACTACGAAACTTTCAGATGCCACTCTAACTTGGGATTTTTCACTAGGGTCCGACACGTTTTGAGCTCCGAATACAAGCTTCACACTCAATGCCCTAAAATATTAATTATTTAGGTCATTATATCTTCCAAACGGGGGATGTTGGTATATGCTAAATTAGTGATGTAATTTTGGTTCCTCTGACAATGGGGAATTCTCCTTTTGTACAACCTCCCCTCTGGTTCTTGATGTCGGCCAAAATGGAAGATCATACCTAAAGGCATTTCTTTATAAGCTTACCAGAACATACTTCTGTAACCAGAGCATTTCTTTATAACGTTTGGTTACTCTGCTTTGGTTACATGTTACCAAAGCATATGTAGCTACATCTAACGAGGCATTTATTTATAAGCTTAGAACATACTATAATAAAAAATAACAAAATCAAAAAATCCTAAAATTTCTAAAATTCAAATTCCGTTTAGAAATCCCAAACTTAAATTAAATTTGACATATGACATTCAATAATAGGGAAACCATGGTATGCGTAATGTCACCACAGTAACCACAATACTGTAACCAAGTATGTTGTAGTAAGCTTATAAAGAAATGCCTTAAAATAACATAATCTACCATAAACGTTTATGTTTGTTTATGCCGCAAAAAATACATTATTGAGGAGATGCTATGACGGTACTTAAAGTGTACAGAACATTGTATTGAAAAGTTAAAGTGTAAGAAATAAATTAGAATTGTTAGTGTCTTAAGTATTATATAAATTAAATAGTAAGTGCTGCGATTTGTTCTGTTCTAACCTAATCGTATTTGTGTATTTTCACGTACGCAAGTCTCTGAGATAAATATAAATGTTTTGTTTGGAGAAGTATTAGTTGAATTTAAACAATTTGGTACAAGACACTTTTATCTAACATATATTTTATCTCACAAAAAGCAACAGCAAAAAAATATACTGAACGTCTATGCTTTAAGCAAAGGCGTTTGTATTACCTATTATATATATTTTATATATTTTGAATTTAGTGCAATCTAAATAAAACAGCATTCTTATTATTATTAATTAATATAATAATATTGACAGTTGCTGCGCACGGTAAAAACGTATATGTCGAATATTGTTAAAAATTTGGTTAGAATTAACTGTCAGTGGAACCAAAATTACGTCACACTTTTATTGCGTATTGGAAGAAATATGACTCGGCACAGCCTTCTATGCCGTCTTGTTTACTTACTTGTCGACGCAATGAGCTGCTGTCAATACGTAATGTTTAGAAATCAATGAACCGCCACAAAAATCAGTATACAGAGGCGTCTTAACGTACATGCCTACTTGATAGGGAAACTGATGAGGCCTGGCGGTTTGCCCATTTATAATTGTTAATCCATCTGACAGAGGCTTAGATTGCCTGTTGGTGGGGTGGATAAATGTTGTTCTAAACTAAAAATAAAAAAAAAATATGTAGGTATTCCCAACTTTTAATTTACAGCTACTCAGAAAAAGTATCAAAAGTATACAAAATGTACTTTCATTTTAGCTTACTCGTGACCTTCAAAGTCATTTGAAGGTTATAGCCAGAGAGCTAGTAACACACATTTCATTAAGTATTTGATGCACTTTGAAATTTTGTAATTTGAAATCATTTGGATGGAAAAACAGATATACCTGTGTTGGCTAGACCCACCCTGGGACACCAGGTACTGCGCATAATAGAAAGGGGTCGTAAAATATGACCCCAAAAAAAGTGTTTGATTCAGAGGTCAGCAAACAACAATTGAAAGTTTAGGTAATTCTAAAAATACTAGTAATTTAGGCAGACACTTTTGAGAGGGATTATAATTGATAAATCAACCCCAAAGTTGTTTTTTTTTTAAATATGATTTGAAGTGTTTGAATCACGCTGAAATTTTAATAGCGTCTTAATTAAATATAAAAAAAATTAATACCAAAAAGGCAGACACTTTTTCCGAGGTTCAATTGCCGGCCAACATAAAAATGAATGAACCTCGTTATGCGCCACTATGCATTGAATAAGTATATACTTTTTAAAAACTAAACATTTTAAATTACCAAGACTGTGAAATAATAAAACAATAATATTTTTCCTTTTTTTTTTAGGAAAAAAAAACTAAAAGTTTCGGGGCTCGAACCACCAACTTGCTCTGCACTCTGCACACTATCCAAATTTTGATAAATAATTGTATTAATAATTTTTCAAAAAAACGCTGATACAAGTCGTCGATTTCTATTTTTGTATTCGGAAAAACAGATTGTCTCAATAACATTATAATAAAAGTGAAAGTGCCTAATAAAAGTGTAAGGTACCTGTAGGATTAAAACATTCAATTTCAGGGTGCGCATTTTAATTAGAGGCTTAAGGAAACAGGTAGTATTCACGATATATATTCCTCCGAAGCCCTAAAAGAGACAAAAGTACCACAGTCAACTGTATACAAAATTTTACAGGAAGGGGCACCACCTAGGAAGGTGCGAAAAGATTCTGGTTCATCTCGTTCTATTCCACAGTTTCTTTTAGAACCGATTAGGAAAACTATGAAATTTTCTCTGTAAATAATTTGCCTACTTTGAATACGTTATTTTTACGTCTTAAACAAAGAACCTTAATAGAAGACTGCCATAAAACGACATTATGTAGATTTTTTAAATCCAACGGCTTTAAATTTAAAACCATTAATAAAAGAAAAACAATTATGAAATCTAGCGGGTTTAGTTAAATGGAGAATATAATATCTCGATTTAATTATAAAGTATCGACGAGAAGGCAGAAACATTCATTTTTTAGATGAAACCTGGTTCGACACTCACGAAATCATAAAAAAATGTTGTACTGATGGAAGTTGAAAATGTAATGTAGACACTTCTCCATCTCGAGGAAAAAGAATCATATGTATTGTCGCGCGAAAGCCTACCCTGTATGATGTTTACTCCTCGGTATGGAGTCTAGCGGCGCGCTGGGAATGCGCTAGTTCAGTGATTATGTAATTATGGTCCCACTGATAATTAAAGTGACAGCAGATTTTTTGACTGCGTTTTGTTCGTTTTGTTTACCTAAATTATATCGTTCTTTCACTTAATATAAATATATTCCTAAAGTAGGTAGATAGCATGCATTAAATATACAATCGTTTAGTTACCAATTACATACTTTTAAACTATTTTTTATGACTAAACACAGTAAAAACGTATGTCAAATTTATTGATGTTTTTGTTAAAAGTTTGGTTAGAATTAAATGTCAGTGGAACCAAAATAACATCACACCACATACTTTGAAAGAAGTGCATCACACTGAACTAGCGCCACATACTTTGATGTGACTAGCGCACTTCTCGAATATACCAGAACAAGCGGTAGGTAGGTAGGTAGGTAGGTAGGTAGGTAGGTAGGTAGGTAGGTAGGTAGGTAGGTAGGTAGGTGACGTTGAGTCATAGAGATGAAAGTCTAGGATATTCCACACCGTCTAGGGTATTTTGGTTACAGAGTTGGCTTGATATAAATATCGCGAGTGTGAAGACGGAAGTCAGTTGTATATAAACAGTTTAGTATCGAACATTGCAATGAAAAGTTAAAGTGTAATAAATAAATTAGAATTGTTAGTTAGTGTCTAAGTATTATATAAATTAAATAGCACGTTATAAATGAATTGTAAATAGTGAGTTTTAAATAAATAAACTATAAATAAATTAGACTATCGTCACATTGGTGTCAGAAGTGGGATTGTAAATAAATAGTGGACTAAAATGGCTAAAAAACTGTGTGGTTTAAAAGTGACTGAATTGCGTCGAGAATTAGAAGAACGTGAACTGGAGACGACAGGGAAGAAATCAGAACTGGCAGAGCGACTTAAAGAAGAATTAATAAATGAGGGTTTGGATCCGAAAACGTATTTATTTTCGGATGATACATCTTTTGCTATAATTTCTTTAGTTTCTTCCGATATGGAAAGTAAGATGATCTCTATGAAAACCGATATTTCTTCTAACATTTCTTCATTAGAAAATGAAGTTTCTTCAGATGTATCCTCTATCAAAAATGATATTTCCTCATTAGAAACTAAAGTTTCTTCTGACATATTACTTCCTTAGAAAGTAAAGTTTTGTCTGATATTTCTTCCTTAGAAGAAAAGGTGTTTTCTGATATGTCTTCCGTGAAAAACGAAATTTCTTCTTTAGAAACTAAAGTTTCTTCTGATATCTCTTCTTTGAAAAGCGAAATTTTTTCTATGGAAGATAAGATTTCTTCCGTTGAGAATAAAATAATGTCTTTTGTTGAGGAGAAAATAGAAGAGATGGAAAAGAAGATAAAAGAACTGGAACATTCAGAACCGATCAAGGACGCTGAAATAAAGTGTCATGAGGTGGAGTCGAAGTTAAAATTGGAAGGGGCTGTAAACTCTGCTCGTGTTAAAGCCCCAACCTTCGACGGAAAGATGTCATGGACCAACTACCTCAAACAGTTCGAGACAGCTGCGAGAGCAAATGAATGGTCTGAGAGAGAAAAGGCAGTGAATCTGACAATCGTTCTTCGAGGAGATGCTTTAGATGTCCTTCAGACAATACCTGTGAAAAAGACGGATGATTTTGAACAACTAAGAAGGAAACTCAACATGCGATATGGCCATGAACACTTGGAGGAGGTATACTGATTACAGTTGAAGAATCGCAAACAGAAATATGACGAGAGCCTTCAAGAATTCGAATTAGATATTACGAAGATGGTACTATTTGCCTACCCATCAGCTCCGGAATACATAATTGAATATTTGGCTGTTCAAGCATTTGTAGATGGACTTCGTGGCCATGAAATGCAAAGAACACTTCGTTTAGCCCGTCACAAAACATTGGTCAATGTCTTGTCCGCTGCTCTTGAATATGAAGCGGCTAAGCTAGTTTCTGGTGGATACAGTGAAGTAAGGACTGTAAAAGAAGAAGAACAGGGAAATAAATTGGACCAATTGTTTCACATGATAAAAAATCTTATTGAGAAGCAACCGAAGGCTATTAGGTGCTGGAATTGCGCTGAAATGGAAAATGTAAGCAGTTCGCGCAAATGCCCAAAGAACACTACGAATCGAAAAACCATGCCGGTGGCTCTACAGGAAGGAACGGTGTTGTCTGAAAGTAGTGAAACCATAAGAGTAAGGCGGTTGTAAGGAGCTGTAGAGAAAGCAACGCCTGTCATGGCAGAAATTCCGAAGTACAATGAAGGTGTTGGTCAAGGAACTCTGAATGGAAAGGGGTTGGCCATATCTGTTAAAGAAGTTACAGTACGAAGAACGTCGGTTATCAGCGATAAGTGGGCCCCTGTCAGACTTAGGAAAGAACATGAGAACGATCTCGTTTTAAAGAAGATAAGAGAATTAAAAGAGGAAAATCGTCGACTTACTTGGCAAGAAATATCGAAACTCTCTCCAGTAGTTAAATCATATTGGACTCAGTGGGACTCCTTTATTCTGGAAGACGGCTTATTAAAGCGAGTACTTAAAAATGATAATGGTTCCGAGAACAGAAGACAGTTGGTAATTCCAAGAAGTAGAGTGTCCGAAGTACTTCGTCAGTTACACAGTCTATCAGGAGGACATCTTGGTGTGGGAAAGGTTTTATTGGATGAACAGTTCTGATGATGTAAAGGACTGGTGTAAGAAATGTACCACCTGTGCTATGAGTAATGGACCTCAGCGGAAAAGGAAGGCTCCCATGAAGCAATACAACGTTGGTAACCCATTTGAGAGGATTGCATTAGAAGAAGAAGTAAACCAGCTCCAAGAAGAACCTGACCTTGCGTTTGAAGAGATTATGGGTGCATATGGAGGTACGGGAAAAGCAAAACATGGTGTTACAACCGAGCAACAAAAAGACCTGTTCACGGTTCCTAAAGATTACTTGCTGGTCCATGGCACTTCCGCCAACATCTGCGATGCTCGAGGTCTGGCATCTGTATTCAGGAAGAAGTTTCGTCGACTTCAAGATCAGTTACCAGCCTCTGGAAAAGCCTTGAAACTTTAAGATGAATGGCTTTATCTTTTCTATTTGGTAACAAAGAACACCTTCCAAGATCGATCCTCCTATCAAGATGTATGGGAAGCATACTTAGTCTGAGGGAGCGTGTACTGGAATCCAATGTAAAGAAACTAGCCATGCCGAAGGTAGAAGGAAATCAGCTGAATTGGAGGATCATTAGAAACATGGTGGAAGTAATCTGTCAAGATACCGGAGTCCAAATACTAGTCTGCAGCCATTCGCCCAATGTCCAGGTTACAGCGAAGACAGTTCCTTGTTACTTCTATGCAACTGGAAATTGTAAAAGAGGATTCAGTTGCAGATACAACCATTCCAGTTTAGTTTCGTAAGAGTTCCAGGAGCAACTATCTCTTAAGGAGGGGGCAATGTTATGTGAGCCATTTCATTATTCAGTCATGCTCTAATCCTCCAAGTCCCTCTCTGTCTTATTTGGCCTTTGAGGCTCAACTTGTCCGATTATCATGCATAATTAGTAGCTAAACAGTGGTGAATATAAATAGTGAACGATTCAGAGACATTCGAAATATATATATATAAATTAGAATAGTAGTGTTACAAAATAAATAAGTGTTTAAATAAATTATTAATAAATAAACTGTTGTTTAATAACCTCCTCCTTTTTTGAAGTCGGTTAATAAACAAACATCACATTATTATTATTATTATTTGCCGCGCCTCGGAAGCCTGTCCACATCTGCATGCTCATGCGTCCTCGGCTTGCCTCATACGCGTACGTGCTCAGATCTGTACCCGCCTTAAAATGTAAAAGTTGCCACATTTGCCGACGACATAGCTATACTCGGGCTATACTTGCCATCGGTAAAACCATAGAAGAATCAACAAGAAAATTTCAACAGGCAACTAATAAAATCTACACATTATTTCAGAAGTTTTTCAAAAATATTTCAAACGTTTCAAACATATAACATTTCAAGCACAAGTTTCTGAAATATTTTGAATAAATATTTCACTAAATATGTTTCTGAAACATGTTATAACTGTTACATAGAAGGTTACAAAACGGGTTATGTTGTAAAAGGCAAAGAAAAAATGAAAAATCTCATTCGACATTATATGGTGTGTAAATATATCCCATTGGTAATTTAATTAAAAATAAATTAATTTTTTTACAGTTTTTTTTTTTAATTTTATTGTTTTGTTTGGATTTTATAAAGAATACAAACATTGAAAGTGCGCCATTTTGTTTGTGACATCACAAACATAACAGTTCTAGCTCTGTGCCATAGCACAGCAAATGAGACCGTGTAACAGTTTACAAATGGCATGAGACTTGTTGCTCAGAACACATTTTTTGACAGAATTTAGATTTTTAACAAACCGGTGACGTCTGTGCATAAAAAGTTGTAAAAGCGCATTACTATTATTTTATATTTAATAAAAAAAATTATGTTGAATATCTAATTAAGTACAAAACGTGAAAATTACACAAATAAAATCTATTGACGTTTAAAAGAGAGAATAATAACCTTAATTTTTTAAAATGCATCAACAGAAAATCTTGAAAATAAAATAATCAGTTATATTATATCAAGATAAATTAATAAAAATAAATAGATTACATTTGTACCTATATGGGAAGTACAGTGTTCTAAGTCCAATTTGATCGAATTAAACGACACCCTTTTAGGATTATTTGGACTTTAATTGATTTTTCTAAAATAAATATATTCAATTTCAATGTATAAATAATAAAATAGAATTTAAGATATCGTGCTTATTATGAAATATTATGAAATTATAAGATAAATAAATATTTGGAAATCGATATTTTAATGTATAAGAACCTGTATATGGCAAAGGTACAAAGTGAACCTAACCTTAAAGCCGTACAACACACTACATGTTTTATTTAGTTTAATGGTAATCCGTTTCCTAAGCTTAATCGCAATAATTGGTTGACACAAAACTAGATTTATTTTTTGCAATTTTAGTCATTTATAGGGGGGCCAACTTCCCCTTTTTTCCCACTAGCGGTGCTTATGTCTGGGTACATACAAAATAAAGCAGCTTTAAATAAAATGTCGAATTGTTTCTTTTGTTAAGTTCACTTACCTCCGATTTTGGAAAAGCAGCACAAACCGCCAAAATGGCGACCAGGAATACGAATTTCAACATTTTGAAATAATGTCTTCAATATACCTTTAAATTGATGAGATCATGTAATTGAAGGATCTGATCGTGGTTCTTATAAAATAATTCATCTCTTATCTTATCAATAAGTAATATAAAGAAATTCTATTGAACGAAATAGGTTCGATGTGATGATATTCCAGAAATCAATAAATTAATTATCTTAAGTGTTTATTATAAAATACTTCAGTTTATTTGTTATAAATAATAATTTTCGAAATAAATAATTGTAAATACCTCTCCTGGAAATGACAATTTTATTATATTCGCAATGTTTTTAAAAGAATGTGTATCTTATTTGGCTTTTCCTTTATCCCTTAGTAGAGAGGTATTGCAAATATCTATAACGTCCCATACAACACAAAAACATTTCGGAAATATTTCAAAAATGTAATACTGAAATATTTGTAATGTTATTATAAATATTAGGAAACCACCCAAAAACATTTTTGGAATGTTTATGAAATGTATAAATATTCTGTAAATGTATTATTTTAGAGTCAGAAATAATAATTTGAAACCTTTCAGAAATATAACATAGTAATATTTCAGAAATGCATTCTAGTTTAGTTTTATAAATATTATGAAACATTGCAGAAACGTTTCTAAAATATTTCTGGAATGTCAAAATAGCTTTTTTAATAGACTAAAATAAATAATTTTTAAACATTATTGAAATAAAATATAAAGGCGAATCGCGTAATTTTCACCAATTTCCCTGAAACAAATTATAGGATTAAAGGATTTGAAATAAATTATTTGCTTAAAGTGGGAGTTTATTTGCTATTAATTTTAGTTCCAAATGAATTTGAACATTTTTTAAACAAATCAGAGCAGTTGCTGGCGTTAATATCAATAATGCAACTTTAAAAACATTCAAAATAAAAGTTTAAACAATTATAAAAAAAAAATATTTTTTTTACGAAGACAAGCAAATAATTGTCTATTAAAAACCAATTGCAATTACGTTGAAACCAATTCACAAATCGATGTAATAATGAAAAAAATTGAGAAATAAAATACAAGCCGAAATTTCAAATTATATACGCGGTAATACCATTGTCTACCTTCTTTTTTTTTAATTTGGTGTCATCGGCATCGACTACTAAGGCCATTGGCCTCGTGTTTTGTGTAGGCTTTGTTACTGTTTCCCAGCGTCACTTTAGGAACAGCACTGTTAATTAGAACCCAACAGTGAATGGTCGAGTGGGGAATCCTACCAAGGCATCAGAATTAATTTTAAATAATTAAATTAAATAAAAAAATCCCGGCCAACGGTGGGATTTGAACCTGGGACCCTTGGATCCACAGGAAGAAACTCTACCACTGAGCCACCCGCCCCCTGTCTACCTTCTTTATCGATGATTTTAGTTCCCGCATTCGTTGACAGATCGAAAAACAAGCCAGTCGACTTGTTTCCATGGCGATTTCAAACATTCTATTCGGAATATAGTTTGAAGCATTTAAATCCAAACGGAAGACGAAATCTGCACCTATTCAAGAGTACCTGCAATTAAAATAATGGCAACATTATCAAATCACTTTGTATGTGATGTGCTAGTTACTATGTCGTTACCATGTAGTTTGTAAGTTACTGCAAAGAATACCTACACAAGAAGCGAAACTAATGGGCGATTCGTGGACAAAAAACTGCCAAGTTTTCTCAGTGTTTTAGAGGTGGTTTAACGTCAAATATAGCTGTCAATTTATGTAGAGCAACGTTTGGTATATTATTATTAGCATTTTGTGAAAACTGCAGTATAGTTAAGTAGTTGCATTTAACTAAGTAGTAATTAGAAATTAGATAGTTTTAAGATTTTTATTACATAAGAAAAATACATTGCGCTATTCGTAAATTTTAATTAACATTTTTGCATCCGGCTGTAAATGTTTTATTTTTAAAATTTCTAAATCAATATTACCTTTAATGATAATTTTCGACTACGTATTTTCGACTACGTATTATGCATCATTTAATGTCTTTTATTTAAAATGTTTTTTTGTTGTTCTTCTAACCATTTGAATTAAAACAGTAAACAAACAATAATTAAAATATATGACAAACTCATTTCGAGGAACCAAATCACTGCTATATCAGGATGCAATCGAAATGCATGCAGCTACCTACAGTACTTCTGGATATGTAACGTGTGGAGAGTGGGTTACCCCATGCACTTAGGCCCTACTAGGCCCATTGTGTATCCTCCTAAGATCATAGGTACCTCCTAGTACGTAAACCCGTCTACAGATTGAACGTAGGTGACAACGTGGCCAAGAGGTTCTTCTCTTATATTGGACGGTGTTAGCCATTACTCGCCGAAAACAAATCTTCTAATAAATAAGAGCATCAGGCAATCATAGAGGATATGCTCAATGGTCTCATCTTCTTGTTCGCACCCTCTGCAGAGTGCGGATTATTACAGCCCTATTATATGGAGATGCTTCCGTACTTGGCAATGACCAGTTAAAATACCTGCAATCAGGCGCAGATTCTGTCTAGTCATAATGAACTATTTGTTTGCTGTAGTGTTGTCAGGATAACTTAAAAGCTCCCTGGCAACTCTGCAGTTTCTGGTTTCCTCCCATCTTTCCTTGAATGTTTTTTTAATTAGGTCTGTCACTACCTATGTTGTCAGTTCAATAGAAGGGCCACGTCCAAAAAGTATTTGGTTAACTGCCTTCTTGGCTAGTGAATCAGCACCATATTGTTGATGCATAATCTTGCCACAGCTTCGTAACATTCTAGTACTAACGCCTGAGTAAATTCGTAGTCTGTTCAGGGTAAGTAGTGCTTATCTGCTATCTGTATAGATGAGCTTGTTCCTACCAGTGATATTGTTTTTGGTGAATTTTTTTTGCTGTCATGACATGTTATGTTGAGGTTGAATGAATTGGAGTATATTCCATATCCTGAGCCTTGTTTTGTTTTAGAACTGACGGTGTAGATATGAATCATACCTGCCATTTCCAGCTCTTCTATTCTAAACATCAGTTTCTGTCCCAACCGTGCAGAGGCGTGTCATTGTCATCAAAACTACCTCCTTGATGTAAATATCAAGGGGAGTGAGACAAAGAACGACTTCTATGGCTCTGGTTCGTGTGGTTTTCATTGCTCCTGTTATGTTGAGACATGCTGTTATTTGAATTTGTTCTAGTTTGCGGATAGCTGTCAATTTTTGGATTTTCGGTACCCAGACAACTGCACCGTATACCAGCATAGGTCTTATGATGGCCATGTAAGTCCATGTGACGACACTGTGGGAGAAACCGCAGGTGCTTTCCACGGTTCGGCGGCATTGTTCATAAACAATGTATGATCTTTTGACTCTATTTTCTAAGTGTGAGTTCCATTTTAACTTGTTGTCAAAGGAGCTACCTAGGTACTTCACTTCTGTTGCAATGTTTTGTTTTATGTTTAGGAGCTTTAGATGTTTTAATTCAATTTTCTTCCTATTCCTTGTGACAACGACCATTTCTGTCTTCTTGGAATTGATAGACAGTGGATGGCCCTTGCATCACTGTTCCATAATTAATGACACGAGTGGATGAAGGTGTCATGTCACAAAAAGATTATTTCGAGAAAATCAAATTTAAAGTTTTACAATTGCATTACGCTATATGGCTCATGATACCTTCTTATCTAATGAATAGCCGTTATTTATCAAAATTGGAAATTAGAACTACCTATCACAAACAAAAAATATAGTATATTTTAAGTATAATAGGCGATGAAAATCATTTTTTGAAAAAATGTGACATGATACATGTATCCACTTGTGTCTTCAATTGTTCACAAAATTCCCAGGTTATTTGCTTACGCTATTGTGTAATTACTGTCATTATGTGTAACAATAATGATACTTATTTTGTTATTAAAATAATCTATTTTTCAAAAAGAACATAGTAAGAATTTTCTGTATGCCATTGTTACTTTAATGTGTTCAATTCTTATGAACCAAACGACAAAAATTGATTAATTTTCATACGTTTCCCAGTGTATTAGGTTCCCATGCTTTAGTACATACGAAAACTCATTCAGTTTCGCTTCTTGGGTAGGTATTCTTTGGTTGCTGTCTTATCATTATTTTGTTAATGTCATTATATTTGTCAGTTGTATTTTAAGTTTAATAAAGCCTTTATTCTTGATATTGTATTTAGAACAATTTATTCAACTTAAATTTAAAATATGGACAAATTCTTACGCTCAGAAAGATTAGATCCTGCCTCTAAGAATGCTGGACTTCAATGGCTGCACTGGAAGAGCACCTTTGAAAATTTTCTCTGCTGTAACGCAAGTATCGAAAGCATCAGAGGGTCAACTTGCGATGGTAGAGCAAACTGGACTACAGTTACTAGTAAATTACATTTCACCAAACATTTATCCATTCATCAGCGATAGTAAAAGTCTAAGAGATGCTTTGGATATTCTGCAAAATTTATATATCAAGCCCAAAAGCGAACTCTATGTCCGCTATGCCTTGTCCTCCAGGAAACAAGCTGGTGATGAAAAACTAGACCAATATATTCAAGTATTGAAGCATTTAAGCAAAGACTGCAATTTCAAAGTCGTTACTGCTGAGAAAAATGCTAATGATCATATAAGAGATGCGTTCAATACGGTTAGCAGGCGATGACGCGCTGTTGCCGTGTTAAGCCAGATTAATCGGTTCTCTCACTCCGATTTTGAGATTTAATGATATGGGTCCTGCCTTCACAAGTACACTTTTATCAATGACTAGTTGGGGATGTGCTCACTCGTCACAGTGAAAGAGATAAACTAAATTAACACCTAATTTTACTTACAAGCTTTAGTTCTGTAAAAAACTTACCTCAATTTCCATGACTATATTCTGCTTCATACAAAACAGCACAACGCACAAACAACAAAAAAAGCAAATGGCAAGGGTCAACTTTCGTTTAGCCGAAATCAGTTACGTAAAAATTGTTGCCATGGCAACCGTTGACATGGTAACCAGTAAACAAAAACCCAAATCTCGTGGTGAGGAAATGCATAGTTGCCAAGTTATAGATTATTTAATGTTCACTTTAGTTTAGACGAAATCAGTTATGGTAAAGCTGTTGCCATGGAAACGCTTGACATAGTAACGACTAAACAAAAAGCCAAATCTCATGGTGAGGAAATGCGTGGTTGCCAAGTTACAGATGATTTAATTTAGCTGTAATCATTTACAGAGAAACTGTTGCCATAGAGACACTTGTCATGGTAACGACTAAACAAAAACGCATAGTTGGTAAGTTACAGGTCATTTAATTTTCACTTTAGTTTAGCTGTAATCGGTTATGTAAATGTCGTGATGTCGACTAAACAAAAACCTAAATCTAGAGGTGAGGAAATGCGTAGTTGCCTCTTAGATTTAGATTAACTCTTAACACAATATATCCTAATCTAAACTAAAGTGAAAATGAAACCATCTATAACTTGGTAACTAGGCATTTTCTCACTACGGGATTTGTTTAGTCGTTAGCATGAAAAGCGTTTCCATGGCAACAGTTTCTCTATAAGATCACGCTACGCTCCTCCCACCCACAACTTAACTACTACAGAGGAAAGCGAGCGAAACGAGCGCGCCATCTACATCGTAAGATCACGCTATGCTCGTTCCACCCAACTACTAACCACTACTTGGCAACTACGCATTTCCTCACTGCCGGATTTGGATTTTTGTTTAGTCCTTACCATGAAAACAGTTTTTCCGTAACTGATTTCGGCTAAACTAAAGTGAACATTAAATGATCTATAACTTGGCAACTACGCATTTCGCCACCACGAGATTTGGGTTTTTGTTTAGTCGCTAACATGACAAGCGTGCCCATGGCAATATTTTTTGCATAACTTATTTCAGTTAAATGAAATTAAACAAAAACCGTAATCATCTACAACTTGGCAACTACGCATTTCCTCACCATAAGATTAGGGTTTTTGTTTACTCATAGCCCCCACAATTAGGCATTCCAACGACCTGTCCAAATGGCTACCAGTGGGTAATGACAGTTTAGATATGGCAACCCTGTTGTTATGTTGTCATTAACAGGGTCCATGATACATATATAGTTATATAGTTTGCTTAAAGCTGGTCGTTTACGAGCGGCCATATTGCCTGGCAAATATTTATTAATTTGAATCAGTTTAGCAAAAATGTATTTTAAAACCAATTTTTAGCCTTTAGACATTAAAAAAATATTTGCTTACGTTTTTACTTCAAGGCATAAGCTTATGTTTATTTTGAAAAATATGGATGATCAATCTATGTAACTATCTATTTCATTGACCTTGTCAAATCACCAGGCCTACAGGGTTGCCATAATTTTGCCATATCATAACCCGTCAAAACCCACTGGTAGCCATTCAGATTGGAATGCCTAATTGTTATTATGACAACAGTTTTTGCTAAACGAAAGTTGAGCCAAATTAGTTTAAATAAAATGACTACAAAGCCTATCTTCTTCCTCTTCTTACAAATGAGAAATTTAATGAAATATTTTCAGTGAAACTAAAATAAAATATTTCAGAAATGTTATGTGCTCGAAACGTTTGAAATATTTATGACCTTTAGTGAACTTGCAATATCTCTCTATTAGCGCCGCTTTTATTTTGACATCTGAGCAAGCGCAAATCGTTTAAGTTCTGGAACTGACTTTAGTAAAGATGAAACTTAAGTTCAGAAAAATCGCTATTAAGATATATACCAAATTTCTTTGAAAAAAGTAAATATCCGGTCACGTGACCGAAATCCCTACACCGGCAGTAGCAAAACCGAACAACAGAAAATGCTTGCAAAGAGATTATTTTTATTGTTTGGTTGTCCGTTAATTTCTTGGGGAAGCGTTCATTAACATTGAATATTAATTATGAAAGAAGAAAAATTATCTCTGAGCGAAAAATACAGCGTTTTACTTCTTTGTAAAACGATTTATATTACATAATGGAATACAAAAAGCGCTATATCACAATTACCCGAGTTGAGTCATTATGTGTTTTAGAAGAAAAAAGTGTGGTAAATAATATTGACACAAAAAACATCATTAAGATAGATAATGGTTTAGATAACATTTTATTATTTCGTTTGATTTTATTGTTTCCAACTATTACCTTATTTATTGACTATTGTATATCTATCGAGAGAATAAAAAAATGTATCATTTGTTCGTCATTGTACCTGCTGGACAGCTTCATCTTTATTGTGTGATTGTTGAAGTATAAAAAAAATGATTATTTTTCAAATAATATTAATTCTAGGATGTATTTTATCAGAATTCCATGTAAGTAGTACTTATCATTATTATTAATACTGTACGATTTAATTTTGGTTATAATATTCTCGTTTTCGTTTTAAAGGATAGTTAAAAAGAATTAAAAATGTATACAGGGTAGTTAGTTAATTTGTATTATATACAGGATGATATCCATTGGCGGCTCGTGATAATACGAGATGATAGTGCCAGATTTTAAGAAATGTAAAAACCCCGCCGGAGGCGTCCTGTCGGAGGCCCCCCACCAGAGGCGAAAAATTTTTTGGGGTGCCACGCCCAAATTTTTAACCAAAAGTCGTTTAAAAAAATGTAATTCTTTAATTTGTAGTTTTTCTTCTAGCGAAAAACCACTAAAGGAGTTTTTTAAGACGTCAATTTTATTCATTGTAACAATAAATTAAAAACTAGGAAATATATTTAAACAAGTTTATCGAAAACAAAAAGACACACACATTAACGTCACTAAAAATACTTCGTAACGTAACGAAAAACTTAAAAGCGCGTAAAGAATTCGGTTAATTCAGCCAACAATCGACATTATCGAGAAACCGCGATTATCTAAACAGCTATCTACACTGTGCCTGGCACAAACATTCCTTGATTTTACCGTTTAAATACATGTAAAATGTCCCCATCTCTGTTGCTCACATAGGCTGCAGGTAAAATTTCTCTCTCCCCTAGTGTCAGCTGAGAAATGGCTCTGGTAGGCAGCAAGACTTTGGAGATTTATGCAGTGCGAGGTTGCCACATTTCAAATAATTTTGGAATATAAAAAGACATGCATAAAATAAAAATATAAGACGTTTAAAAAAAATACATATTTTTGCATCAAAAATAAGGTAGTGCCATGGCACAGTGGCACTACCTCACGAGCCGCCACTGCGTATGTCGTAATGAAGCAATGTTTTAATACCTTTTAATAATTCATTTAATTTTGCAAACACAGAATATTCGATTCGAAAAATATTAAACCTACAAATCACTCTGTATTTTTAGCCACACCGTGAAGGCATCGTACACCTTCTACTACAGAGATAACAGGAGATGTAACTACTAACAAATATCTTGCGGTCCTGAATAATACATTTTCTAAGGGACACAAGAGGGTATAATATCCGCTGTTGTCATATGCCTATTATATTATTTTCGTTTTGTTTACAAAATTATTTACATATATTAAAATAGCTAAAATAATTTAACTTATTTTATTGAAACTGAACCCAAAAAATTTTGAATCCTTAGTTATGTCAAATTTAACTAAATTAGATGTAATAATTTTCACTAAATTCCAAAACCTAGTCATGTTAGGTTGGAAGTGGCAACAGGGCTTACACAATTATTAATTGAAAAAAAAAAAAGTTGAATCTGCGTAAAATTCTTCTCTTTATCCCCTCTCTTACTTCTCACCTTTCATCTCCTCGCCGCGTCCCTACAAATAAAGTGTATTGATTGTCGAATTAATCTTGGCATCGTAAATATTATATTTTATCAGTGAATGGTTATATCTCTGTTATCTCTATTCTACTAAGATTCATATGAGCGAGAATGGCGGATGGACGGATTTTTTGTTCGGCAAGCGGAACTGGAAGAGAACTCAACAGTGTTGCCAATTTCCCTATAAACCCCGTTATTTTTATCCTCTTATTGTTAGAATCATAGTCTGATATTGAATTGACTTCAGAAATTTCTGTATCTCCATCTGAGACTGCCCGAGAACAAGCCATATTAATAAAACTGATGCCTGAATATTTCTAAGGCGTCATTAGCAATAAGCGTTTTTCTCTATGATGAGAAAATCTCTTACAAAGTAACTATTTAAAACTGCTTTGTGAATACGCAAAAAGGAGAGGGCACCTATTGGAACAGTGGATAAGTGGTGGCTTTGTTTTATATAGATAATATAAAATACTGGATCAAACTGATGGATAACTTTTAATTACAATAAGGACAAAAAAGAGTACAAAGATATTTGGCGGTGTTTTTTACAAGTAACGTTAACATTGACAACTGACATGACAGAGAAATGATTGACAGACAATAATACAAGCAAGTCTACCAACTAAATTATAAGGTAAAGGATAGGTTCGAATTATTTCATTGGATATATTTCAACAACCCCAAATATCTGTTGAAAAAATAATCTTCATCCTTACTTATTAATGAATAGTAAAAATAATAACCCATAAATATTTTTATTTCAGTTACAAGATTCGTCTAGTTCGAGCATTTTTACATTTCCTAAAGATAACAAGCCGAAAAGCAGGTTCAGGATTATCGGAGGAAATGTAGTTACTCCTCCCAATCTTTATCCATTCCAAGTTGCGCTGAACGTGAGATACAGCTCTTCAATTGCACTGTGCGGAGGAAGCTTGATTTCCGAACAATGGGTTTTGACAGCAGCTCATTGTGTCGATAAGTAAGAAATTTATGTTAATATCAGGACTGGATATACCAGCCCTGGTTAATATACTTTTTGTTGGTTATGTCTTAGTGAACAATTTTATGCAGCTCCAATTCTCTAAACTTTAAAATAGGCAACAAACTGAATAAATTAACTCTAATCTGTTAGATTTACGTATGGGAGGCCCTCAAGGGTCAATCTTGGGGCCAATTTCGTTTGTTTTATATGTCAATAGTGTAGACTCGTTATTAGGTATTTAATAGTCAAATAATCATAGTCTGTAGTAGTATCTTATAATTAAAGAGATAAATGTTCTGAAAATTTTGTGCAGCGGTATTTTTGAGTGATTCTAAGTTATTTTGACAAACTTTTTGTAATGGATTGTGAATTGTAATAGACACCAATTTCTTGCGCTCCATAGGAATTGCCCCAATTTTTCTTGCAAGTGAGAAACATTTCGAACTGCTCTAATAGGTATTTTTAGCTGTCACCAGTGTAGTACTAGTTTCAACGATATCTTTTAAAAAACGACTACTATTAGTGTAAAACACCTGAATTCGTTTATATAATACCTCAATATGTAATTTGTCTTTTTAGATTTCCTTTGTACATAGATGTGATTATTGGAGCGCATAATTTGACAGACACAATGGAACCGGCTCGACAAACATACCGTTCGACACTGCATTTTATCCATTCCGATTGGTCAGATGTAGCCCTTCAAAATGATATAGCATTAATCAAATTACCAGAAAACGCTACGCTTAACGAAAACGTCGGATTAATCGGACTGGCCACAGGTAAGACACTAACTTAATTTTATCTACTACCAATACGTATTCTGTCCCGCGTCCAGTGTTGCCAACGTATTGAAGTTGTAATACATTCATCACTTTTTGGTCCAGGGTAGTAAGATATTATCCCTTTTACAAACATATTAGTTACGTTCCAGCTTTTTTCTAAATATGACAGCGGCTAAATAAAGGTTCAAAGTACTTATGCACTTACGTCATAGATGGCGGTAGTCTTAAATTTTATAAAAAATGCCAAATGGAAATAAAATTTTAATAATACAAAACAAAGCAATTTATAGTCTTCTAATTTCAAAATTTTAAGAAGCTACTAGCATTTTGATAGTGTGAGGGAGGGGCTAGTAGTCACATATTTCAGTCAAATATTTACTGCACAGTTTTTTCATGCATCTGTCATTTGGCTTATCACTGTTTCGAAGGGTTCAAATCCACTTATTACTAACTGATTGTCAGTAAAAGTTATAAACATATCTCAAATAGTAACAGAAAATAAAAGTGTAGGTATATAGTAGGAACACCAAAGCCTCAGTATAGGGCAGATGAATACCGCACAGTTGGCAATACTGGAATAAGCATAAAATAAACGAACTTGGTGTTTAAAATTTATTACTCTGGAGTGAGACATGTACAATATGTAAATACCAAGTTGTATAACACCAAATAAAATGAAAAATATAAGAAAATATATAAAGTGAAAACGATTGATGTTTATCATTTACCGGTATAACGTAATATCTGCTTATTTCTTGCCGCTATAACTTTAACACTGATATGCCACACAATAAACCATTGTAATAAACCAACTATTAAATGTCGTTTAATTCAAAAATCAGAAATAAACACGAACAAAAACTTTGGTGTCACCGAAATAATTAGCACCAAAATAATGGGGGCCAATAGATAATCGGCACAGAATACTACGTGTGCTCGATATACTTGTTACGCGTCCTCTCTGTATTACCTAGTCTAAGGTATGAAGCCTTTCTAACTTCTGTCTCTGCTATAGCTATTCGAAATTCTAACGGTAACGTTAGCTTTAGCGGGGAAGTGCTAAAACTCTTTAATACTTCAACACAATCACTTTATCACAATATTCGATACAAGTTTAATTATAAGGCATTTTTAATATTTTAGGTTTCGGTACATTCGCTGGTCGAAGTGGTACGATTTTAGGATGGGGTTTAACTGAAACTGGCGTAACATCTAATCCACTTCTACAAGTCACTGTGGACATCATGTCAAATGCTGTTTGTAGAGCAACAGATCCTGCGTACTATGTAAGTTAGGCCGATAATGTAGAAGCTATTAAAAAATGATTAAGATTGTGCTGACTGCAATACCCAAAATGTGCTAACAGATTCAGTATAGTGTGTTCAAAAATGACAAGCATTTATTAACAGACACATCAGTTACTCTTATAACCCACCTTGTATAAATAATGAAAAGAAAGGCAACAAAAAAAAAAACATCATACTTCATTATTCAATCCAAAGTTTGAATTACCTAATTTATTGAAATAAAATAAAAATCATGTGTCAATCACATAAAAACAATATAGAGAGCCACCCTAAACATACAAAATACAAAAGTTATTTTTAAAATCGACTCATCACACCAACAAACATCAAGCTTTCAACCGCACAAAAATAAATTCGTATAGCAACAAGAACCGTTAGAATAGGTTTCTCTCTTTTAACAATTCAAAACACATCTCTCTCTTCATATAAGTCTATTTACGTCACTCTCATTAAAGTAAGGAAATGGAATGTTCAACATGAATTAGAAAGCAATGTCGTGGTCTCCCGCCAAGATCATACGATGTTCTATCGGCCAATAGAAATTTAACACGGTAACTTATGTAAAAGATTTCCCAAGCTCGGGCTAGAATTCAGAATCTCTTTTGCCGCTGAACAGAACACATAAATTTTCAATTTCTTTCAAGATTCTCGCATAACAAAACAATAAGATGTTATAAGCCAACGTTTAATTATAATAATATGTAAACTAGTAGATTAAGAACATTTTCACAAATGTTAAAGTTTATCAAGATTTAAATAAACACGTTGAAGGAAGATACATTTTTAATTACAATATCAGTAAAGGTACATGTGTACACGAACCGTCCACAGCCCATTACAGGAAGAAAATCCCGTGTAAGATGTGGAAAGCAAATACGGAAAATTCACTAGCTCGCAATAGAGTGCAAGCCAAGGAAACAAAAGATTAGAAGCCCGATTGTGGTGGCGGTGTTATCCTATATTTATCGCCCAATATGTTTTTATTACAATCTTTTTGTAACTATTTTTTGTAATATTTTTCCAATTAAATTTTTTTTATATTATATCGCTTTTATCAATATATTTCTACCGATATACCTATATATTTATATATTCAGCCATCCCAACATTTATATAAGACCCAACCCAACTTTTTTCTACCATATAATCACGATTTTTTTAGGTTAAAAAACTTTGCATTATTCGAAGTAATACAAGACGTCACTTTAAATTTCTCTTATATTCTCAATAAACACGATGAGTTTAATAAAACGTAGGTCTGGAATTATAGTCTATTTTTATGTATGAGAGAGTATTAAAATAATAAAGCGTTCGTAATCCATAGGCGTATCACTTTTTTTAGTAGACAGTTAAAATATTTTTTGAAGTTATTCCTCGAGTATACACTTATATTTTCACCTAATTAACCTGCTTATAACTTCTAAACAGCTGAAGGTAAAAAAGTGCAATTTTTTCTAAAATGTTTTATTTTTCCACAAGGTATGTTAAGAACATTGTGTCAAACGGGTTATGTAGGTATAAGGGTTTAAACTTTGACTTTTAAACAACGTTACGTTCATAAATAATAATTTTAATATAAAAACTACTTCTTACCTACAAATCCAAATCAGAATCGAAATCAGAAGATGAACTGTCGCAACCAATATTTACAATGAGTGACTCGATCATTTCATCAGTAATATTGTCCAACTTTCACATTTTCTCTTCTTCTTTAATCGTATGATTTACTGCCTTTTCCCAGTTTTCAGGCTTCACATTATTTACAGCCTCCAAAAACAACTGTTTAACATCACTCATTTTAAAAGAATTATTTTTTCTTGAAACTTCTCCCTTTATCTGTGCACACATCAGTTCAATCGGGTTTACTTCGCAATGATATGGTGGTGATCTAACCACCGTCATCCCACGATTTTTTGCAATTTCATCAATTTCATATTTTTTGAATTTCTCTTTATGAAGGGAACACAAATGATACAGTTCTTTTCTCACAGAACCGGGATGGAACTTAATATTCTTTGAATTTAGCCAATTCTGTAAATCTTTTTTTAACCACTTGGTTGTGGGCATTTTTCCTTGTAAGTATCGAGTGATAACTTGCATTATCCATTACTATTATTATACAGTTCTGAGGAAGATCTATAATTTGTTCGAACCACTCTTTAAAGACATCAGCATTCATGTCCTCATGGTAGTCACCGGTACGAGTAGATTCAAAAGTCAATAAACCACCTTTAACAAAACCGTTTGAACTACCGATGTGTACTATTACTAGTCTGCGCCCCTTTCCTGATGGTGGATTTAAACCAGTAGATAAATTATTTAAAAAAGCCTGTCTTCGACTTGTAACAGTTTTATCTTGCCAAAATTTATTTGGTTTATGTCCCTCGTTGATCCATGTTTCATCTAAATAAAATATATTTCTTCTTTGGTTTCTCATTTCTTTTATAGTCCTTAGGTAATTTCTTCCTCATACTACAATATCGCTTCTTTCTATTAAAATAGACTTTCTGGAATGCTTTTTCCATAGAAAACCTATTTCTTTTAAAAGTTTCCATAGTGTGCTTCGACTTATTTCAGGGTAATCCTTATCATCTCGAACCGTGGCAAGAACTTTGTCTACTGTCGGAAATTCTTTTCTAAAGAAGAACGCATGCACTTTCCTTCGAAGTATTTCTTTCAAAAGATTTTCTAATTGAAATTTTGGTTTTCCTGGAGCTTTACGTGCTGTTTAAAACTCGCCACATTTCTCTTCTTTAACAACTCTGTAAATCGTAGATTTCCCAACACCAAGCGTACTACTAACTAATTCCACTGTGTCATCAACACTTTTACATAAATGTTTGTCTGTAAATGATTTAAAACAATTAAATATTAATGTTTTTTCATTCACTGTTAAAGGGCCGATTTTTTGTCGTTTACGCGGCCCTTCCAAATTTTCCATGATCACACTAGAATTCACACTGCACCTTGCAAGTTGCAACTAAACGACATTTAGTAAACTGTCAAGAATACACAACTTGGACCTCCTTACTAAATGGAAAAGCTATAATCGCATTTTCGGTGAAATTTGTTGGGAAGGTATTTAACTACTTATAATTCGATTACTGTAAGAAATTCTTGGAATTAAAATAAAACAAAATTGGCAAATAGGTACTTATTGAAAATAATCTTAAGATACGGCTATGTAATCTTTAATACACAGGGCTTTTGGCCTGTCCAAACCTTTTTCTATTGTTCTGTACAGCTTATGTTTATAAAGGACCAATAAAAGACCCAAAACTTGTAATAGCTCAGGTAAATTTATTACAATTTTAGGAAATATTTAGATTATTCTGTAAAAATATTTAAAATGACCGTACTAAGTTTTGCATTAGAAATGCTGTTTTACTCTCTCATACATAAAAATAGGCTATAGCACGGTTGCAAATGTCTAGTTATCACCACCTTAAATGGCGCCACCTCATCGACAGGACATTTTTTAAATCTAATAAACGTTTCCTGAAGTAATTAGACAAAAATAAAAGACTATTTTGCGCCATAAACAGTATTTTATTTTTCCCTAATTTCTTCTGGAAACGGTTGTTGGAAAAATCGCTGTCACTTATCATTGGACTTAAACAAAATGGCCGTCCTCATAGTGACTTCTATGACAACTTAAATGTCAGTTCTGTCAAATGAATCAAGTGAACGTTACTGGCGTTACTTTTAGCAAACTAATGTCATCAATTTAGTCACATGAGATTACGGGTATTGCAGCTTGTAATTTATATAATACAAATATTATGTTTCAGATAATCCAAAATAGCCATCTGTGCACGTCCGGTGTCGGAATAAGAGGCAGCTGTAACGGTGATTCTGGCGGTCCCTTAGTGGTGGGCAATACCTTGGTAGGTATCGTTTCTTTTGGTCCTGAAAATTGTGCGCTGGGATACCCCTCGGTGTTTACCAGAGTGACGAGTTATTCAGACTGGATACTTCAAACTATGACGACTGAAGCCAGTGCGACGATGAGAACGGGAGCAAGTGCAAAGTTTACTTCCAATATTTTCGCTTTAAGCATTTTAATATTGTTAATTTGTTTTAAGTAAGAATAGTCGTAGAAAAAAAAATGAACAATGCTTTACCATTTTTACTACTACCTGTAAGTCAAATGGCGCAATGTAAGTCGCCCCGGAGCGCCACGGCAAATAATAATAACCGTCCCTTCCCTGTACAACCTGTCGGCTTCTTGGGTTAAGATTCACTTACTAGGGGGTGAATTATAGGGAAAGTAAAGTATTATTATTTATATTCTTATGAAAATAAATATAAATCAAGTGAAATAGAAAAAAAAATGTAAATGTAATAGAGGGTATGTCGAACCTTTTTGCATGCTCAGTCAATTTTCCAGATCTAGAACATTTCACGCAAGTGTATAATACTTTTTAAGCTCTGACGTCGGGACACAGGCAACCAAAATTGCATCTTTCTTTTAATTTTGAACCTTATTAGCCTTGCTTATGCATAAACCCTGTGAGAGGTTTCCTCAACTGGTTAGAAATACTCTCACTTGTGAATCGAACTGGGTATGCTCGGGCGCCAGTTTGTTTTAGAGTGATTTGCTCCACTTTACCTATTGGAACTATTTTCAAGAAGGGCTGTAGGTAGCTGAACAAAATAAGAAAAACCTAACGGAAGTTTCAACCGGAGAATTGAGGGATTTAGGAATAAAACGGTGTCGGTTAGCGGCGGTCAAACCAGTAGTTCTACGCGGCGATGTAGCAAGTCTACGGTCTTCGTCAGGGCAAACTTTCGAAATATTAATATCCTGGCGATGCAACCCCTGAGGATGACGCTCCAGGCTATGTAACCTCGCATAAACCAGACTCTGGGAGCGAAGCCGAATCAGCCCATTCTACCACGTGGGTTACAAATAAAAACATTGAATAAAAAGAAAATATAAACAACTTGGGAATTTAACAGATTCCTGCTGGTTTCACACTGTTTTCGGAACACAAGACTGAATAAAAACTACAGGAATAATCTAATTACCTATCGGAAAAGTATACAACGGAAAGCAAGTGATTAATCGGAATTAAAACGTGATCGGAGCTCGGACTATCTACCTCTGCAACCAACTATTCGCGACCAACAGCTAAAATTGAATAAATCTCCGCGATTTTCGTCTGGCCCACCTTCTGCCGGCTTTCGCGTCGATTTCAACTGCTCGAGGACGGTAGTGGGGACGCGATAGGTTCACAGCAACATGTGATTTAACATAAAATCGATAATTATTTGCAAATCGCGGAAATTTCGGAAAATAATAATTTAAAATCGGGGAACTTTAAGAGCAAGGGTTGATCCAGTTAATTAAAAATAGGAATGCATTTTTAGTTCATTACAACCCAACAAAAACTGTCAAAAACACTTCAAATTAATTTTATTTAGGAATTTATAGTTCCAGTACGATTATGTGTAGGTAATAAATATTATGTTTTTAAATTTGATAATAACCAATGATGCATGTAAGTTTCGATGGATTTTCTTCTCAATGCGCATGCGTTGCATTGCCTCTAAACATCGCACAGTTGTGCCATTTTTGATTAGGTTGGCAGGATCGTGTAGCGTTCCACTGGTGGGGAGTTCAATGAGGTAAAAATCTTGTTTTCTCGTGACAGTAATAATACTGGTTGTTTAAAATGCGCATGCTTAAAAAGTTTGAATCACATTTAGAACATCTGCGTAATAAAACCAAGTACTTTTTGTAATATACAATTTATTTTATTAAAATCTTCACAAATACTTTTCTTTTCATCCAAATACTATTTCGCATAACACCACACAACACAGTCCAAGGCCGAGTCCGGTCACAACTAATCTAAAAACAGAAACTTCATTTTGTTTTTCAAGTTCCATGAAATATATTTCGTTAATGCGATTTGTAACAGTACTCAATTGATCTTCAAACTTTTTTATATCCTTTTGAACTTCGTTTATCGGTACTGGTCTTATAGAAGCAACCAGATCGCGCATGTATTTTTTTAAATCGTTTTTCCAGTAAAACGAGCAAAGATAAGCTGAAAAGGAATAGAATGAAGAAACTTTATGCATTTGTCTGCTAAACAGTGGCGGCTGCTGGTCAAATGTCCAGGGAGGTCATATGGAATTTAATAGCACAAATACACACAAATAGAAATATAAGCAGTAATTTTTAATAATTGTCGACCCATTTTGGATTTTCAAATTTAGCGCTAAAGGGAAATAGAAAACCATTGTTTTATCTACACCACTGTCGTATCTCAGGGTACTGGCATTTTGTTGTGGCGATTTTGTGCTAGAATTTTAAAAGATCAAACGAACTTACCTGAACTGAAGTTTGAACTCGAGTATATGAACCCCTGTGGCGACGTATTTTAAAGTACTCTCAGTATTTAGAAAGTTCCAAAATAACTGGTCGCACCAGTCCTCGGCTCTATACTTTTATCAGTCTTTTGGGTTACTCGCAAGCAGTACTAGAGCTGTTCCTGACTATAAATGGACGTTCTTTTTTAACGGTGCTTAACTCCCACCAGTGCTCCGTTATCCCCTCAAGCACTTGCTCGATAGCGAATGCACAGAGCTCTTGTCTTATCGATTCTAAACCGTAGTCAGTCGTTCTTTTTTGACGTCATATACCAAAAACATTAAACTCTTAAAAATTTTGGAGATGATCTTGGGTTATATGTGTGGGATGGGTTCGATCATCTCCAACAAGGCGTTTAATATAATTAAGATACTTAAGTTCGTTTGATATTTCAATTATAGTACACGCCTTGTTCTCATCGATTATCGATGATCACTGCCATTTATCACCGGCAAATAGGTCTTCCTCACGATTTAGATTTAATCAGGATGATGGGCCATGTTGCCTCTCTATATTGACCTTTTCAGATCTGTTGTGGTTATCTCCTGCTGCTTTAGCCGTCAATGTAGCTTCATCTAGAGAGTATGCTATTACCCTCTCTTCTAGGCCGGCTTTTACACACTGACACAGGACTACTGGTACCTCTTTCGTTGCTCCACATGAGGGTACTCGCCCATGATGGCCGATTGTGACTAGGCACCTATTATATATTTTTCGTAAAACGCATTTTTCTAAATGATTTTTTGGAATCTGTATGACGTGAAATAGGTTTATATTCAGCAGACTAATGGCCATTTTCACCGCTAGTCGTTAAGAACTAAACGAAGCTTAAAGTGACATTGTTAATGGAAAAATGTCAGTTAGGGCTTGGCTTATTTCATAATGACTGGCGGTGCAAATGGACCTAATAAAACCAAGCAGTTTTTGTAACACTATATATTTAAACAACTAAATACTCAATGGTATTTATTCCTTCTATCCAACTAGTAGCCTTAATATTATATAACCTACAAATCCAGCCACAACGTACGATGCAATCGGAGTTTGATCGGGAACTTTGCCCATATCCGCCACAGGAATGTTACGTTGTTTGGCAATTTGGCCGAAATATGTTTCATTAATGGACTGTATACGATTTGTAGCGACATTTAATTGATCTTCAAACTTCTTCATCTCCTTTTGAACTAGGACGTCCGTTGGTATTGATGGTTTTATAGACGACACCTCATTGTGTATGTACAATTTTAAATCGTGCTTCCAAAAAAATGTGAAAAGAAAAGCTGAAAAAGGAAATGATAAATATATTAACGCTTCCCGTGTAACTCGTTTGTTAACCAGTGGCGGCTGAAATTTTCAGAGAGGCAACGATTATAATACTCTATTAAACAGGATTGCTTAGGTTGCTAAATATGTTTGCTAAATATCGTTTTGTGACGTCACCAAAAAACCTCGCACACATTTAAATGCATTGCTTTATACGTACTAGAAGAACATTTCTAATAAATATAAATAAATATTATTATTATGGATATAAATTATATTATATACATTATAACGGTAAAAATAAAAACTAAAAAAAATATTAGATAGTTTATCCTGAAAGATCATTTACATAATATAGGAAATGTCACATATTATAATAATAACAATAAATACAAGAAAATACAAATTAATACAAATTAAAAGTAAAATTTATAAAAATAAAAAAGGGAGGTAAGTTAGCTAAGAATACTTATGTTAAATTGAAATAAAATGCATGAACATCAAACAATAAAAAAGTGTAGTTGGACATTGAACACATTAATTACACGAAAAATTCTTCAACGCTATACGGACATTTTTCTATTAGATACTATGGGGTCTATTCTGTAACAATTCCTTTATATTTAACGGCCTTTAAAAATATTTTCTTCCTTACTTCTGTCATTATTTAAACGGATCTTTAAAATACATTAGAGGACTATCTTAAAGAAATCTGTTTAAATAATGACAGAAGTAAATTAACGAATACGAAAATATTTTTAAAGGCCGCCAATATTTTTAAAGGCCGTTAAATATAAAGGAATTTCAGTTTGATTTTAAATAAGCTATAAGTCACTATGTTTTTAATTGAGAGAGGGAGATGATTGAATAGAAGTACACCGATGTATTGTTGATTTATTTCATATAAAGTTGAAGCATGTTTTGAAATACGTAATTGGTTTCCACTTTTAGTAGGATAATGGTGGGTGTTTAAAATACGGGGAAATTGTAAAATGTTTTGTTTCATGTACATAAGATTTTTAAACATAAAAATTTAAGGAAAAGTAATTTATATTTTTTATTTTTAAAGTTCTGGCATCTAAATTAAAAGTAAGCCTGATTACTTTTTTGTGAAATAAAAACACGTAAAAACAGCTCCTCCCCACAGTAGTACATTAAATGATAGTTGAGAGTATACCAAAGAATAGTATACATTGAGAATATGACTTGTAACCAAAATACTCTTTAATTGCAGGATGTCATAATAAGCACTATTTATTTTTTTACACACAAAATCAATATGTGATTCCAAGAAATGTAGTCTGATTTGACAAAGGAATAAAATCATCATTTACTTGTATGAGAAAGTCCGTAGTATTCACAATTAAAGAATTCCTTTTACATCAGTTTGTGAACGCATTGGCAATGGTGTTGGGATTGCTCTGTAGTTGTTCTGGCTAGTCAGCATCAGTTGCTGATCTGCTATCATCAGCATAAATTGCAATATGTCTGGCAGAACGATATTGTGGCATATCATTTATGTATAAAAGAAAAATTAGCGGCCCAAGTACTGATCCCTGGAGGACTCCTCGTTCAACGTCTCTTATTTCAGATATATAATTTATAGTTTAGATAAGATGAAAGCCACTGAATTACTTAACCTGAAGCCACTCCAAATCCTACACTTCCTTGAGAAGATAGGATTGGAAGGATCGTTATAGGCAATGAGATATTTCCTTGCTGCATTAGCGACAGAAGGGGGCACAATAGATCTTTTAGGTCGCAGTGTATTAACACTCCATTCCCAACATAACATAAGCCACTGAAGGAACATTCCTCTAAAGCCCAGAGCAGAAAAGGGCACACAAATATCTTCACTTATCCAGTTGATTATAAACATAGGCAAAAAAAGCAGCGGAAGCACTTTCCGTCGATCTATCAGGCAAAAAACCATGTCAAACTATAAGACACTAACTTCAGACAATTGCCGATTATATACACGAAACAACCCCTTAATTATGCACCTAGGGCAAGGAGTGAGGGCTGCTATATTTGGGAAATCAAAATAGGAAACAACACTGCATATTTTAGATGAAGATGCTCGTTTTTGACAAGGTGGACCTCTACTTTCGGCAAAACATTGTACTTTGTATCAGTGTTGCCAACCGTACGATTTAAATCGTATTTATACGACTTTTTAACACTCTGTACGATCGCATCAGTGAGATCGTACATAAAAATACGATCTTCTTTTTTAGTAGTTTCATCGAAATATCTGCAACAACTAAATTAATTCAATACATAAAAAAAATCAAAAACTACTTGCGAAGATTCATACGCCATTCGTAATTTCCGAACGCATTCATTTTCATTCTACTTATCGTGATTTTGTATCAACACCGGTTATCACGGCACAACAAAAGCTTATATGCAAAATTTCAATCACTTTCAAGTGATAGTGATTGATTACTTTAAACGGGTTAATTTAAAGTAATCCTTGGCAGGGAGATCGGAATTCGCGAGATACAACCATTATGGTAACATTTTATCCACTGGGCTATTCCTGGTCGAGATTTGGGGACCATTTCCAATGGTTGGAAGGTATTCAAGACCTACACAGTTACCCCTCAACTTAACAGATCGCTTGAGAAATTCTCCCGGAGCCAATTCAAAAAAAAATCATCATTTTGACCTCTAAATCTGGTTTTTCTGACGTGATGGGGCAAAACTGACCTTGGGATTGGATTCAGGATGCCAAAATACCTACGAATACCATGGTTTAGTCAAATAGTCCGGATTTTTTTTTTGTAAACCTGTGTAATTATTGGCGCCTTTAATATTAAAGACAACTATTCAGCAGAAGTTAATCCCTCAAGATTCAATCGTTGATAAACTTCCAAAAATTTTACGATCTCAACCAATATAATGAAGAACTGAACGAGAATGGTCCTTTACTTGATTTAGTTTTTTCAAATGTAAGCTCATGTAAAGTAGAGAAAGCATTCGACGTTCTACTTCCAACTAACAGTCACCACCCTGCCCTCACTATAGAAATACCTTTTGAACATAACAAATATTTAGCTCCAATATCCTCCTGTGGTTATAATTATAAAAAATCATGATTCCTATACTTTCCTTATCTGTATACAGATAGGAATGTAAAAAGCAAACTTTCCTCGATTGTATCAAAGTATATTATATTGTACTGTGTTGTATTGTTACTTTGTTTTCTTTATTTATCTATGTATGACTTACCTTATTCATATTTTGTAGATATGGCTTCAAAGGTCAATAAATATTATTATGTGTAAAAACTTCGTCAAAACGTTCCTGGAGCTCCGACACGCCCAGTACATTACGCGAAAGGCCTGGTCGCTGAGAAGATCCGCTCGGTCAGTGATCTTCGGCCAAATTCAATTCCCTCAAAAGACGAAGGGACCCAAGGACTACCGCTTTCTGCATTTTCACCACTAATTATTTCGATGAGTCTCGGCAAGCCGGTATTTTTTGTAGCTTCTTGGGCATAGTGTCCTTGATTCCTCCTAAAACACCCACAATTAGGACTACCATTCTTACACTATATTCTGGATATCTGGATACATTCTTTGCAACTCGCCAATCAGTGGAATGTATTTGGCCCGCTTTTCCCTCTCCTTAATAAGAATGTTGGTTTCAGCTGGTGCAGAAAACTGAATGACTCTGCTTGCGGGCATGTTAGCTTGGACTCTGGTTTTTGTGGGAAAAGCGTAATTCCAATAAATACGGCAACTGTTATTTTCCACTACCGCTTCAATTTCGTCTGGGGCGTATGGCAGAACTAGTGTCTCATCTATACCGTAGTGATGTCTCAGATGATAGAACTCGCAATGCGGCGTTGTGTCTGTAGATGTACCCAGACACAGCTTGCACCGGGCAAGTAGACAAAAGATGCATTAATATCTCCGGGTATTGTTGGCATCTTCTGCATCTAACATCCGCCAGTTGCGTAAATTGAGCGCGGTATACGAAAGTATTAATTACGCCATCCTGACAAGCTAACAAGAATCCTTCTGTCTCAGACTTCAGGTCAGCTGATCGAAGAAAGAAGAAAGTTAATTCCCGAGATAGATTAAGATCTTCTATGTTTCTGTAAAAAACACCGTGTTGGGGTTTGCTGACGTGATCTTCCAAGAGCAGCTGTTGTTCTGCTGTCCTAATTAGACGTTTTACTTGAGCGGGTTCCAACCTTGTAAGAGATTGGTTGTCATCTATTTCAAATCTGAGACCTAGTTCATCCGCAGCTTTACCTGCAACCTTAAAAAGAAAAGCCCCGATACCAGTTGTTTCATGGTCTCGAACCAGCTGCAGTAGTGGGTCCGCACTATTGGCTACCTTGCAAGCCAAACTCACACTTAATCTATCATGCAACCCCTTCAGACTCAGAAGACCCCTGCCCCCTTGATGACGTGGAAGGTAAATGCGTGAGACCGATGAGCGTGGGTGGATGCTTTAGTTCATATGCATCATCTTGCGTGTGCTTACATCCAGTTCCCGTAGTTCCTCTCGCCTCCACTTGAGCACGCCAAATGAATACAAGAGCACAGGAACGGCAAGCATATTAGTGGCAGCAACTTTGTTGATTCTGGAAAGCTGGGATTTCCTTATTTTCCGGAGACGCTGCCTATACTTACTACGGAGCGTTTTTTTGACGTTGTTAGTGTCATGCATTCGATGTTGATCAACACCAAGATACTTGTAAGTTTCGTCATCTTCCAAGTGACGAAGTATGCTTCGGTCAGTAAGTTGTTCGTTCTCAGGCTGGTCTACGCAACGGCCTTTCTGAAGTCTCAGAACGGCGCATTTGTCCAACCCAAATTCCATAACGATATCCCGTGTATATTCTTGCACCACCTTCAGAAATTGTTGTAAATCTCGGTCGCTCGTAGCATAGACCTTAAGGCCATCCATGTTAAACAGATGTGTGACCTTGTGTGTGCGATTCCCAGGTGTGCCGCATTGATATCCGCGAGTTTGTCGAAGAGATACCGAAATGGGGAGA